TATGGGCCTGTTAGCTCACTTGATCCAGTTAATGTTTTTTCTGTGTTATACATGTTCGTAGTGGACTTTTTTCTGATCATAATCCTTTGTTAACTGATTACAGCGTTGGATGAAAACAATCCCACCTACTCGAGCACCGAGCTCCAGCATTTCAACCGCCTCATGTAAAATTTTTGTCCGAATCCTCAAAATTGTTGCTCGGTAGATATCACTTGATGGCTATTTGAAAGCTTTTTCTGATAGATGTTCTTTTAATTTTGGGAGTAATTTTAAATCACTACGGGCCAGGACTGGTGAATGTATTGTGTCATCTACTAAGTTAGATTATGCTGTCTTGATTTGGTACTCACACTGTGCGGCACATAGTAAGATCGAGCGTGAAAGAGCAAATTTTGAAATACCTTCATTTAAGGCTTATGGATGTATTTCCTGAGCGAGAATTTGATTACTCTTTGCTGCTTAATGAAGCAAATTTTGTTTCTCTGAACACAAAGCGCATTTTAATAACGACAGCCTTTTTGTGTAAACTGGATCATGGGAATATATGTGAATTTTTCTTAGAAAAATGCCCTTTACCAGGCGCCAGCGTAACATAAAAAGTCGAGAATGTTTTATCGTGAATTTGATAGAACCAATGTTTTGAGTACGAGGCATATCCAAAAATCCAAAAATTAGAAATCAGGAAAATTTTATTTTATCAAACTACATAGAGTTGGTCATACATGTATAAACTATTTTTCTACGTAGTCACCGTCAACTATGATGCACCACTCCACCCTCTTCCTTTACTTCCGCTTCAGTCTCGAAGCGTTTTCCTGACAAATGTTACTTCAGGTGTAGTAAAAGATGAAAATCGCTTGGTGCCAGGTCAGGGCTGTAAGCCGGATGGCTAAAAACTTCCAATCCAGAAGTGCGGTGGTGACGGCAGCTGTGAGGGGCCGAGCATTTGTTTATTTTTATATCACATTAGTTGATTATTATTCCTTCTATGTTTGATTGGTTTCCAGCATTTCCTGTTATTGAGGCGTACATAGCTGTTGGAAACAAATGTCTATCTATCTAATCCAAAGTTTGCTTGGTGTAGGACAGACAAAACGATGCAGAAGGTATAGCTGTGAGCGTTGTCTTGATCAAACAGTGCACCATTCCTTATCTTCACTCAGCGTTTCTTTTTAAAAGTATGTATCTCGAATTTGTGCACTAAGTAGTCGCTAGCCTATAACGTGCACAGCTACTACAAGTGAATATAAAGAGAATGACAGCTAGTTTCAAGTTGACACATAATGTCACTTTCGAAGTTAACTAATACGGGTTCGGCTCACTGCTGAACAGGCTGAACAGGATCCATTGCTATTAAAATTCTTCAAACATTAACCCAGAAGTACAGAACGTCAAAATAGTTTGACATATAAACTTACTATTTTGTCAGCGTAGCGTATGCACATCAATTGTTCCACTGCCAACAAACTTCATCAAAACCAGTGAACAATTTAGGGGCGGAGCGGAGAAATCAGCCCTCGTATATTGATAATACGATCAAACACATCACACTCATAAAGGCGTATTTGGTCTTACCTTTTGTGGTTCATATCATATTTCTCTTACGACTGAAGGCACCGTAATATTAGCCGTATCCTCCTCAATCAAAATATTTACATGGAATCTGAACACATTGCATTACTATCACTGTAGTGGTCTGAAAGTCATGAAAAAAAAGGCGTTAAGCGTGAAATTATGGCCCGCGGGGTGACAGGGACAAAAACGCCCAAGAAACGAGGGACACTAGCAAATAGATCTACCTAGCCATGAACAAAACAGTTGAAACGCACAAGCATAATATGACAAATAGTGGCATGTGTTTTAATCTCACTTGCAAAATTTGGGTTACTAATTTATAATTTAAAAAATGAATCGTGAGGAAAGATGAGTAACTTAAAATTACTGTGCAACCGCAGTGTCTGACATTTCTGACAAGAGGGCCGAAAACAATTCTTGAAAAATGGTTGCCAACTATGGGGATGATGCACCATCATATTACACAATAAAATTTTGGTCGAAACAGTTTCGATGGGTGCGTGAATCCTTAGAATCCTAAAACAGCAACAATTGAAAGCTATGACCAACGTTCCTGGCACAAATTAAGGGACATTGGGATCCAGAGACGAAAACACGTTCCAAAAAGGCAGCCTTCTGCATGAAAATTGATGGCAACAGTTTTTTGGGACATTAGGGGCATCCTTTTCATTGAATACATGCCAAAAGGGTCAACAATAAATGCGGACGTCTATGCGAACACGCTAAAAAGTTTACATAAATCAATTACACATAAAAGACCCGATTTTTCCAATCCAGAAGTTTTAGTGCAACATGACAGTGCTACCGTGCATAAGGCTGTGCCAACATTAGACCAATTGTGCAGCTTCGTTGAGATCGCCCATGCTCCCTATATACCGAACTTCGCTCTGCCTGGTTTTTATTTCGTTAGATTACTAGAGAAAAATCTTCGGCGACGCCGTTGATAATACGATTATCAAAAAATCGTACGTTTTTTGCTAAAGCGGTAGGTAGAACTCTTTTCTAGTGTTCCTCGTACATACAAAATTTTATTCACCACCGACGAAAGTAAAAAATGTATAGGTGTTAAGCGGAATAAAAATTCCAAATAAATTGACCGTACTATTATATCACTGTAGTAGCAACGAATAAACAAGGTGTTCCCCGCGGCCGTCACATTGTGCTCAATATCTAAAGGAAGTGGGCTGATAAGAGGCATTTTTCGCCCATCAGCGAATAGATATGACAAATATATTCATGAAGAGTATACTCCATAACAAAGAAGAAAACATACAGGTATTTCTTTCAAATGAAAACTGAAATTTGTGGTATAAATAAATTAAATAATTATCTGAGTGTTATATATGTTTATTAAACAATAGTAAAAGATAATCAGTTTTCATATTGGTACTTAATTTATTTTTATTAATCTTCTTCCTCGTCTTCTCCATTCGAATCATCTTCAGACCTAAATATATTTTTACTATGTAAATACTTTTCGAGTGCGAAAAATCATGTCTGAACACTCCCGCAGCATATATTACGTATTTTTGGATTGATGCGCTAACTGAACCAAAACAAATAAATACTCATATACAAGCTTATAATAAGTAGACTCACTGAGCATTAAAGTTCATGGAACGCTTCGTAGGGAAAACATGATTCGAAGACCGAAAAACAACAAAAATGGGCGAAAAGCGCTATATACTCTATTTCTTGGCAATAATTTCTGAAGCATATTACATTATTTATACTATAAATATTATATAATAAAAAAATACACGTGCTGAAGTTCACAAATAAATTCAATAATAGTCTGGAATCGAACTTTTTATTTTTGAGTGTGTTATGGGCGAAAAATCGCCCTTATCAACCCACCTCCTAGGTAGTTACTTTAGCATTAAGAAATCCGTGGAATGAATAGTGAGACTAGGTGCCGAAAACATGTTCAGATAAAGTTAACAGTGCATCATGTGGCGTAATGTTTACAACTCCATGTTACTGTTTCATCTGAAAGGATTTCTACAAGTACGGTGTACCTTGCTGGAAATGTATAGATATACTGGGATACCTGAACGGAAGAGGGTAGGATAACACATAGCAGGTTACAGCTAAAGTAGCGTGCCTTTGTATCGACAAAGTCGGTGCGCCCGCACTATGCAATATTCATAGACACGCCGCGTAGACTGAAGCGTGTGATGTGTTTTGCTACTCTTTTTCGTTTCGGCACTATAATATGCGACCGATTTATCTGAAAAAAAAAAAATACGGGGGGGGGGAATTTTTGCTAAATTAATACAACCAATCTGTAGACTCACTTGCCATATGTGGTTTTGTTCACGGCCTCAATAATTCAGGTCAGATTTAGTACCATCTAGCGGCATCAATCCTACTTGCTCCAGGTTCTTACATGCATATAGACTGCTCTGCTGCCTATGTCTTCAGATCCAGCTTACTTATCGGTCTTACAACTTATCACTTCCAGTGCATGTTTGACGACGTTTTGATATATCAACGGTGGCCAATTCACAAAGAATATATATTGCTTTATTTCAGTTACTCCAACAATACTTATAAATTATGATAAACTACACAAGTCATAACATTATATAAAACTATTGTGCCAATAATACAAAAATAAATATCTCTTAAAAAATATTCACTTTATCGTAAAGTTACTATAATAAGGGATTGTCAAAATTGTGCTAAGAACTAACTTGAGGAATGTTGTCAGTTCCAGCTTTTATAGTTCTAAGTGTAAGATACTAAAGCTATTACACATATTAACAGCCAATTTCATATCACATGATATATGAACAAATTCGATGATCATTATTATACAGATACACGACGACACTGGACACTACACAAATTATATTTGGATTGAATCGGTATAATACCGTACACTCTGTAGTCATTCGATATATTGAGTTGTGTTGTGTTGACGTGTATTCTTTGTACTTTTAGTTCAGACTTTGGAGAATGAAAGGTAAAGAATATTAGTCGATCTCTTTACACTTATGCAAAATAAAAACGCAAACAACTGTGAACCTTTTAAGTGCCTTTTTTGGGGGGTTAAACACCGAAAAATTATTGGTAATGGTAAATAAATTAAAAGTACGAAATATACTACAACTGACTTTTTAGATTTAAGATTTCGTGAAAAAAAAAATCACAAGAAATTCAGAGTTGCTGGGCCCCCTTTTAACGCAGAAAATACTGCTCAAAAAAAATTGTCAAGGAGAGCTATTTAGTGGTGACCTTTATCATAATGAAAATGATCTTCAAGGTCTTACAGAGGTCAGCTTGAATTTTTCTTTTAATAAAATTACATTTACCGTGACCTTGAAACAGATTAAAGGTCATTTAGAAATCAAATTGAAAATTAATTTTATTAGGCAACCATTCCATACCATGTTAAAAAAGTAACATTAATTTACCAAAACCACAAATAGAATATCAGAAAGTAAATGTAATACAAAGAAGGCAGTGTATATGGAGCAGTAATTTTATGTTTCAAGTGTATAATAGAAAGCATAAATAAGTATAAACAAGTTATAGTATCAAGTCTCAAATTAATTTCAAATGTTTGTTACTAATTTATGAATCTCCATTCCTGTCATGCACTCATTGTTTCATATTTCTCTTTAAATAAGTTCCGGAACATAAACTTTCCTACTCTTTGGGTGAAATTTAATGAAATGTTGCTGCTAAAATCTGGTTTTGGAACCACTTTTCTACGAACTTGAAAAATGTTTATTATTATTAGTGTCTGAATACGGTTCATTAGTAGGATAAAGTCTGTATCGTATTTAAAACAGTTTTATGCAAAATATATAAATTATATGGATGGGTTAAACATGCAACCCCCACGCTAATACACCATAGGATGAAGGTGGTTCAATCAGTTATGGTACTATGTATGAAGGTACTTTTCTGTGAAAATGCTTGTGAGTTAATTTTGTATGAAACAATTATAACTTTTTTTAAAATATAAGATATATGGATTTCCCAATATAAGTGAGAATCTAGGAAGAATATGATATACTTTCAGTTTGTTTACTGTAAAAGAAATAACTGTATAACTCGGTAAATGTCTAGCTAAAAGGAAAATGGAAAAAAATGTTTTCTATGATTTATCACCCTTATATAATATTGAAGTATAATCTGCAAAAAATAGAGCACAAGCTTTGGAGACCATCGATTTTCAGAAGGACACTTATTTTATTAAAAACCATCTGGAGTCCTGAGAATGCAAAACTATGTCTCACTCTGCGCAACAACGAGGGCTGCTATCTGTCCCACGCACAAACTGTGTAATCCATCGCTTTGTCAGAGTATCCGGCCAAAAGGGACTCCAAGGCAACTTGTAAACTTTAAATGGAACTGTATCTTTTCGACCAAACCGATAAAGACAGGGAAGCACTTTACGTTCTAAAATGACCTTAACCATGACTTCAAAGTGATTAATTCCAAAGTCAAGGTCACATACAAGCTGTTACGTCCTTTTCACCCGTGGTCCAGATATTACGGTTCCATTTTAAATTTTAGATTCGACCTCTAAATGACCATGAAGGCCATTATCAAGAACCGCAATTAAATGTTTACCTCAACCCAACAACTTTTTTCTCAACCATTTTTTTAGCAGTATTTTCTGATTATTACTGGATAATTTCAACAAAATTTTCCAGTAATCGATCTGAACTTACCAGTTATCTAGATTCCTGTACATTTACTATTTGAAACGTCATTTTGCATAGAAAATACGTAACATCGGTTTCATACACTCCTCTTGATAGGACTACGATTTTCATAGCGCCATTTTCAAAACTTGATTTATACAGTGTTAGGCAATTGTATGGAATGCAAACCCCCTTGTCCACATCGCCTATTGTTCCGAAAATTCTGTGGTTGCTAATCTCTCGAAGAACTAGGATAACCCTTCTCTTTCTTCTTACGCGAATCCTTTGCTTTCGCAGTTCCACAGGTACTAGCAAAGTGTTCCTGCGCAAATGTCTCTTCCCACAAGTCATTAATTTTCTTCATCACCTTGCAACGGAGTGTAGATTTTTTATAGGACATGGTCCATGCATTATTCTCTAACATTTCGTATGAGCGGGTGTCAATAGAGAAAGCTAATACAGACCCTCTAGCTTCCTCGGTCTTCCTACCAATAAGCAGCCAATATTTGACTGTCAAACCTGGATTGTCTTTACACAGACCTAGCCGGAACTCATCCACAGCCGGCTCTTTGCCGGGAACAAAGACCATCACCTTAGGTCTCCTCGGTAGATCAACTTCGTCTACCGCTTTCAACCACAAATCCTTCCAAAACCTGCACAAATGACTGATAGTCATCTGCAACCATATTTTCGTGTAGTTGTTGGCACAGCATATCCAAAGAACACCTCCGGCATAAGAACAATTGTTGAACTGCAGTGCAACGGCACCATGGTAATCTGGAGTCTTAACCACTCGGTCTACCAGCTCTGCTTCGATCGCCTCTGATTGGTCAAGGGTAAGGACTACATCAGGATACTGCTGGTCGACTATAGCAACACGAAGAGGGAACAATGGTTCTCTGGTTCGTTGCCTCTTTGTATTCCCAGGATCCTCAGCACCACCATCATCATCGTGACGTCTTTTTCTACGTGCTTGCTCAATCCCAATTGTCGAGGTATTTCCTGACACTGTGGCGGTTAATTTTTCTGTTACACTTGATGCTTGGTCTTGACGAGGCATTGGCTTGGCGGTGACACCCACAACTTCTTCTGGAACCTGTTTCGCTGCATTTACAGAACTAAGCTGAGCAAATGTACTTGACTGTCCAACATAGATTGATGAAGTCGTAGATATTTCTTGGGATTCTATGGCATCAATAGATTTACTGTTGATCAAATGTAATGAAGTAGCGGCACAACCACTCACTTCTCCGGACTGTCTATCCGCCATTACAAAACCAAAATGATGGTGTGGTTTTTCTATTTTTTCTTTTAATATTGACTGGCCAAAAATTAAAAGACTTGGAAATTTTGAGAAATCACTAGACACCTGTCTAGGTATATGTTCTATCAGTTCTGATATGCTTTCGGTGCTATTACTAGACTTTCCAAGCATCTTGTCAAACTGTACAGAAGCAATGTCTGTTGAATCTAGATTTTCACATACTTGCGACATTTCTACCGAACAACTAACGTTTTCTGGTGATTCGGTTGCCTCTGTGGAACCGAAATGAGAATATATATCTGCTACTAATAAATTTTGCATAGAGCTATTTACTTCGTCTGTTGGTGTGCCATTCCCAGAGTTTGGTATATGTTCTGTACAACTGGACTTTGGAGAACCAAACTGGGAATCAATATCTTTTGACCCAGCAGAAACACATACTGCTATATATTCTACAGAATCACTGTTATTTTCTGCAGATTCTGGTACAATGCTTAGTTCTTGGATAGGTCCGTCCACCTGAACAGGATCGATTAGGGAATCAGTAACTTTTGTGATAACAAGAAAAGATTCTGACCTGTCTACCGAACTATTAGCATCTGCAGTTTTTGTTATATTCTCTATACAACCACTCATTTTTTCAAGTGGTCTGTCCGATTTAGCACAAACGAATTGAGAGTAAGCATCAGCCGACTTGTCTACAAAATAACTGTTAATTGCAGACCTTGACATATTCTCTATACAAGTCATCAGTTCTTGACGTGGTCTGGCAGCGTCGGCAGTACCACACTCAGAGTAAGTATCCGCAGATACTGACGACTTGTCTCCAGAATTACTAGCTACTCCTTCAGATTCTAATATGTTCTGTGTATGAACACTTTCATCTTCGAGTAGTCCGTCTTTTTCAGCAAAAACAAATTGAGAGCAAGTTTCTGCTTGCTTTGGAGCAGATATGACCGACTTATCTAGAAAATAACCGTCAACTGCAGACTCTGCAGGTAATGATTGACATAACACAGAAGATTCTTTCGTACCATCTGTTGCTACAGCCTCAAACGCAGAAAAGAGTGATGTTAAGTCTTTTGCAGAAGTAAACGATTCTAATGTAGCTTCAGCTTCTAACGGCTTCTCTGTGGAGTTGATCGAAGGTTGGAGCCATTCAACTGCTTCAGCTGAGTTAGACTGGGAATGAGTATCTGCTGATTTAACAACCGATTCCGCAGACTCTGCGATAGAATCACTGACAGTTTCTACCGTATTTAATTTATTTTCGATGCAACTACTTGCTTCTTTGGAAATAGGACCAAGTAGAGAGTTGGTGTGTTGGTATCCTTGGCAGTTTTCCAAAAGCTCCTCAGTCTTTTTGACAGATGTCTCGGGCATATTCAAATAACTACTCGATTCTATGACCTGTTCAGACACATACGACACTTGATGATCATCTAGAAGTCTACCCCACCTCTTCATCCTTTTTCGCTGCTTCCTAGTAAGGTCAGTTCGTCGTTTTAACTTAGCAAGCTTTTTGCGAAGATAATCAGATAGATCTGATATGGGATCAACAGTGGTATCTTCCGTGCTAGCTGTTGACTGCATACCAACTTCTGTTCGTTGAGTTTTAACCCTAGATTTTGCTAATGCGGCAATTTCATCACCTCTTTTCTCGGTTTTGTGTATCTCTAGTATTTCTACATTGTCGGAATTTTCTATTTGGTTTCTCCTATCAACAGGCTTTTGCCAATATATAATATCTAGAAAATAACCGTCAACTGCAGACTCTGCAGGTAATGATTGACATAACACAGAAGATTCTTTCGTACCATCTGTTGCTACAGCCTCAAACGCAGAAAAGCGTGATGTTAAGTCTTTTGCAGAAGTAAACGATTCTACTGTAGCTTCAGCCTCTAACGGCTTCTCTGTGGAGTTGCTCGAAGGTTGGAGCAATTCAACTGCTTCAGCTGAGTTAGACTGGGAATGAGTATCTGCTGATTTAACAACCAATTCCGCAGACTCTGCGATAGAATCACTGACAGTTTCTACCGTATTTAATTTATTTTCGATGCAACTACTTGCTTCTTTGGAAATAGGACCAAGTAGAGAGTTGGTGTGTTGGTATACGTGGCAGTTTTCCAAAAGCTCCTCAATCTTTTTGACAGATGTCTCTGGCATATTCAAATATCTACTCGATTCTATGATCTGTTCAGACACATACGACACTTGATGATCATCTAGAAGTCTACCCCACCTCTTCATCCTTTTTCGCTGCTTCCTAGTAAGGTCAGTTCGTCGTTTTAACTTAGCAAGCTTTTTGCGAAGATAATCAGATAGATCTGATATGGGATCAACAGTGGTATCTTCCGTGCTAGCTGTTGACTGCATACCAACTTCTGTTCGTTGAGTTTTAACCCTAGATTTTGCTAATGCGGCAATTTCATCACCTCTTTTCTCGGTTTTGTGTATCTCTAGTATTTCTACATTGTCGGAATTTTCTATTTGGTTTCTCCTATCAACAAGCTTTTGCCAATATATAATAGCTTTTTTCTGATCGTCTGTGATAAAATCTACTGGTAGTTTTTCTAGTACTGCAAGTTTCTCAAGAATAAATGAAGGTACAAAAATTGGAGTCGGTTCTATAGAAATTGGTCTAGTTGTGTGACCAATATTAGCTGGTGTATTTATTCTCTGCTTAGTTTCTCTCTCCATTTTTTTAGTCCATTTCTTAAAGTTTTTTAAAAGCTGTTTTGTAATCACCTCTAATGGCAGCTTCTTCAATTCATCAAGCTGTGGAGGTAAACATTCACAATCGGATGAATCAGTCGTTTCAAGTAACTCTACATAGTTGAAAAGATAGTCGGTAAAAAGGTCAGAATGTGTACCTACTGGCTGACCAGAGATAGGTTTATCCGAAATTATTGGAAAATTTTCGTTACTTTTTGATATCCCTTCTCGATCAATATCTTGCTTATTTTCGCCGTTCACATGTACACTTTTGGAGTTATGAATTAGATCAGTAGTAGCTTTTGAAGTATCCCTTCTGAAGCTGGTCAGATCAGACTTTGAACATTCAACTTCATCAACAAGATTTGCATCTGCCACATCAATTATTTTTCCTGCTGAACTACTTCGGCTTCTAGCTTTCATCGCCGTTTTCCTGTGATTTGATGCAGCTGAAAATTTGCCTTCATGGCCTTGACCAAGATGTATTTTTCCTTTAAATGCAAAACTAGTAACATGTGCCTCAATGCGATCTGTGATATCGATTGTTTCTTTAGCTACATATTTCTTCATAATACCTGGGCTGCCTTTCTGACTACTGTCTTTAATCTCAGATATACTTTTATATTTTGACGAAGCTGAATTTTGATCTATATGATGTTCCTCATCGGACACGATTTCCCCTTCCTCGAGGTCATTATCCCCGAAAACAGACACTTTCTCTGTAAGATCAAGGACTGTTCCTTGAGTTTGAACATTTTTCATTATTCTTGATGTATCAATGAGCCCTCCTTGAGCTTTCTTCCAATTGGCTGTTTCGTCATGCTGACTACAATATTTCATTACAGATGTGTTCGTATGTTCGGACGAAGCTATGTTTTCTTCTACATGACTTTCCTCGTCGGACACAATCTCTCCTTCCTCGATTTCCCTTTCATTTGCAAAACCACTAAAGCATGTCCCAACATAATCCGCTGTACGATCAATGATCGTTCCTTGAGGTCTCAATACGCTTGCTTTGCTTTTTTCTTCAATAGTGTTCATAACGCTTCCCAAATGTCCTACAGAAGCAGCTGGTTTTTGCACAATATGTTCTTTTTCATTAACGCCAGACATTTCTCCCAGAGGTTTTTCTATACTTACTGTTTGTACTCCATCTGCTTGACATTCACGAGGTGTAACTTCCATTTGTCCAATTTCTGTGACTGTTCCTGCTTGAATAAAGTTATTATTAATGTTCAAAGTCGAAACAACGGGAGACTCCAGATTTCTCGGTATCTCCTGTTCAAAACAAATTTTATAATCTTTGTCTATGCTGAATTTAACGTTTTTAATATTTTGTGAATAATCCATATAGTTCCCACGAGTATGGGGGATAAATCCGTCAACATCTGCAGTGCCCCCTGTACAGATGCAAGGCAAACTACTCTGGGATTTCGCCCGGTTTCCCAGAGGCTCCGTTAAAGATACCGAATAAAGCGCTCCCAGATGTGGAATATTTTTTGACATCATTGTTTTTATCGTTGATTTTCGATGGGCTTTGGTCATGTTTACACCAAATAGTAGTTATATCAAGATAAGACAATTCCTGGATTGTCTTTATTGACCTTTTCCTGCATTTTAATAGGGTAGTCAACTACATCACCGCGTACTAATATGATACGATAAAAACTGGTAAAATCTTACCTGTTTTGATGCTAAACAGCAAACGACTAGTGATTTATGAGCGAACCGTCATTGGTTTGACGATTCGCTCATAGAGGTGACTACATTTACCGAGGTGGTGTTGCCAAACTGACATTAAACGTTTAAAAAACGCTACATGTATACTGAACTTAATGGCGTCCTTTTCACAATTTTTGGTGATTACGTTAAAGTCGCACGAAATAAATAAACATAGGGTAAACCCGGGATAGTTGGCGATACTGGGTTAGACGGTGAATGGCTTTAATTCTCGTATCATTTAAGAGCCACATGTACGCTCGGCCTATTATTTCAATTAGTGTATGTTCCACGTATGCAATGCTGTCCGCATAAAAGTTAATTTCGGTGAGTAAATGACAAGATGTATTTTATAATGGGGTATATTTTTCCGTATGTGACTTGCGGACCGGGTCATTTTATTAGAGGTTGCTTTTGCGCGTTTTAACGTTTAGTACTTTGTTAAACAAAGCTAAACGAACATCCTAACCTAAAAAATGAATTCCGGCAACGTTCCGTTCTGCCATAAAACTATTCACCATCTCCCCCTTGAAAATAGGATAGATGGTGATAGGTTTTGTTGGGGGAGATGGTGAGTATATATTATATTTTGATTTGGTCTTATCTTTGCAGAAAAAGATGCCTACTATATACAAACCTAAAAATAATCATTCAAGAGGGAAATGGGAGGAAGAAGATCTTAAAAATGCGGCTCAAGCAGTACACAATCAGCAGATGTCCATTTATAAGGCGTCAAAAACGTATGGTGTTCCTTGGTCGACCCTGAAAAGAAGGATTTCTAGTAATTCTTTGGAAAAAAAAGGTCTAGGGCCCCCTTCTGTTCTGGGAATTGAAAATGAAAAAAAGATGGTGACGCATATTACGAAACTTCAGCGTCACGGGTTTACTCCGACCAGAAACGAAGTCAGAATAATGGCGTATAAACTAGCGGAACAGCTTTATATAAAACACAATTTCAATAGACAAACTTGCATGGCAGGACTAGACTGGTTGCATCTATTTTTTCGTCGAAACCCTCAATTAACCATAAGAAAATCCGGAGGTGTTTCACAATCTCGTTCACTAAACATGAACAAGGAAGCAGTTATGAAATACTTTGACCTATTGCAAGATTTGCTGATAGAACATGACTTACTTGACAAACCTGGAAATTGTTATAATGTTGACGAAACGGGTTTACAACTCAATAGTAAACCCGGCAGTGTTGTGGCTGTAAAAGGATCAAAATCTGTAGTAAATATTACTTCTGGGGAAAAAGGACAGACCATATCATTGATCGCTTGTTGTAAAGGTGAAGTAATTTTTCTTCCACCAGCGTGTATCTTTAAAGGGAAAAATGAAAAACCCAAGTACAAAAATGGGATGCCAAACGGATCCACAATATTCATGTCCCAGAAATCCGCATACGTCAATAATGACATATTTTATTTATGGCTAAAAAACCATTTTTTACCAAGAAAATCTAAAGGAAAAGTAATTTTGATCCTAGACGGGCACAGTTCCCACTGTAGCTCAGTCGAAACTCTTGAGTTTGCACAGGCAAACGACATTATACTTTTGTGCCTACCAAGTCATACAACTCATTGGCTACAACCTTTGGATCGTTCCTTTTTTAAGGCATTGAAGTTCCATTATTACAACGCTTGTAATATATATATATATATATATATATATATATATATATATATATATATGAGAATGAAACCCACCAGAAAAATCAATAGGCTATGTTTTGGCTCTCTACTGAACGAAGCATGGGGAAAATCTGCTACACAACAGGATTTCGGAGCTGTGGAGATATTCCACTTAAACCGCATGCCGTTCCAGACTATGCATTTTTAAAACTCGATGATATTCATGAAAATGAACCAAGAAACATTGCGAATTCTAATGCACCAGCCCAAATAGATGAAGTGATTTCACCAGAAAGAAGCGTGTCACCACAGCCATGTTATACATGGGATCTTCCAAGAACTCCACCACGAAGTGGAGGCTTTGTTCAGCAGCCAGAAATTAATCGAGAAATCTTGATATAACAACTCAATAGAAATTTTCTCTCCGGCGACTTTCTCTCGTGTCACTTAAGTCCCACATGGCAGTGCGTTCCATCTGTCAAAGTGAGTTGAGATTCCTCACTTTCCCCCTCGCTCCTGGAACATGTGGATTGCTGAATTCTGGTACAAGATATTACAAACCTTGAGTTGCGGGATTTTAGAAATTTACCGATAATAATAGAACACTGAGATCTAACTTCTAGATAGATGTTCCGTGCTGATGAAGCTGAATTATCACTTAACCGTTCTTTTCAACATTCAAGAAGAATCGGTTTCCTCTTGTGCGGTGAGTTACTCCGATGGAAAAGGAAAGCTGGCTAGCTTACTACAGCACCGGACTGTTACATATTTCAACACCACTTTGTGCCAGCAGATGGCGCAGCATTAACGCATTTGAACCACGCGCTAAACTAAACCACAGATTAATTTATTCTCCAGTTATAGCATGTCGGGTCAACTGAGGCCTGGGAACGTGTAACACAAGAAAACTAGGCAACGTCTATTGCGTCTGAAAGTACTGTCAATATTGACAGTGTCACTTCCCAACTAGCAAAGTAGTGGTATAAGCTTTTGGTAAAAGAACCGTTCAGCCATAAAAGCTCTCTATTGTTGTTGCCTGAACACCAAAATGCTGGCTTAATGTTGTGTGGAATGCAGGTTTGCTTTCTGCAACATATTTGCTCTAAAATGAAGTTGTTTTTTTATGCTCCAACTACCACGAAGGTCTAAGGCCTAAGCACCCATTGGGTACCGTGGGGCTATAGGGGGATACATGGGAAAAGGGGGGACGCCACACGGACTCTGGCGAGGGAACACGTGTGCATGCAACATGCACACATTCTGGTTCCGCCTACGAGAACCGCCGGGTGGTACCTCCGCGTTCGACAGTCAGAGACCATCTACCACCTACGGACAATCACAACATCCATAGCCAAGAGAAAAATTTCTCCTGGGACTCGAACCCGCACAGCGCACGGCGACTGATCAGGAGACCGAAGAGTCTACTACTGCGGCCACCGCTGCTGCCTAAAACACACAACATCCATGGCGAAGGCGAGATTCGAACTCGCGGCCCGGCCGGCCGGCTGATCAGTAGCACGACACTCTGACCCACGCGGCCAACCGAGCATAGTTATACAACACACCTTATAGAGCAAATTTTTAACTGTTGTATAAACGTTTATACAACTATTTTATACGGCATATTTGCACGTTAGTCAAAATGGTTGTGTTGTGGCATCCATGGTAACGTTTATAAAACAAACCCGAGCCTTGTTGTTTTGCTGTGCCAACAAATTGCTCCCAACGGAAGCACTTATACAACTGTTGTTTAGTAACTGTTTAAGGCTGTACATATGCTAAATATGTTGGTAAACAACTTCACCATAACCTAACTTTCTGCTGTCTAATTTTTGTAAAATGCCATAATCAATGTTTTAAGACAAACAACGCATGCATATTGGTTCAAAAGGTTTTATCAACTGTTCAAACAGAAGATATAGATCTAGGATAAATTCTGGGTAAATTATTCGACTCTATAACACCTGCAGGCAACACCAAAATATTCTAATAACCTAAAGACAACATGGACGATGCCATGATTGTACACAACCACCCGCCATATTGGGCAAACATTTATTCCTCTATTTAATATTAAATAATTATGTTTCAGTTCGAAATTACAGATATAAAGTGATAAACATTAGTGTAATTGTGTCTAAATATAGGTTTTGTGGAAGATTTAACGCAGATAAGTTCAGTTTTCCATCTTAAAAGTCTAGACATACTTTTGATCATTGTCAAAATATGTATCAAATACGAAGCCCGTATAAATTGGGTAACTAATCTGCACGATAATCACAATAAAATTTGCTGCGCAAGTAATTCAATACCCCTATATCACAGTGCAGAAGTTTATCATATACCTGTGTATGAAATTCACAATGGCCAATATATAAGTAAACAAGATGACTGTAATGTGATAGTTATATATCCTTCACTTCGTCTATACAACACATAAGAAATAGTTTGGTTGCAATAAAGTAGAATCACGTAACAGAATAGTTGTATAGTTGACAAAAACTGAATCTTGCACTGCCGCAAATGTCCTATAGCGGCTTACACTTTTGTTTTATAACTGTTACCTGCAGCCCTTATTTAACCTCTTAAATGACTGAAGTGTCCTACTAGGTGTGCCCATTCCGCTTGTATAGCTGTTCTAAGAGGGTTTTGCCAATCTTCTTACAGTATACAATGCTGTTTAAGGAATACTGTATAATCATTCTTGCAACACTAATAGGAGTGATAATTGTTAGTTGGGTTATCTTACATTGACAGCGTCGTCTGTCATTTCGTTAATTACCCCCATTTCCTTTGAGGTTGATTTTTTGAGAATGTCAAAGAACATGGAAGATTTGAGGAACAGGTAGAACTTGAAGCCTTCCAAACTTTTGAGTGAAATACATCAGGTGCCCAAACTACCAAAACATCTGTCCAAAAGAAAACAGACAGCGGTTATTCTCACTTCACCGGAAAATATTGAGAAAAGAAAATTACTGGCAAATAAACGAAACATTAAAGTTGAAGCTGAGAGTAAGAAACTCAAGCAGGCTAGAACAAAAGCGACTAATATGAAAAAAAGGGATAACCCCAGTAGAGTAAAAGGTAAAACGATATTGGAGAAGACGCCCAAGAAGAATGCGTCTGCAAATACAAACAAAAAAGTGTGGGATTCGTCGTCCTCAGAGAGCAATGATGAAAAGTTTGAGGAGTCAGAAGAAGAACTATCAGATCAGCACGAGAACAGATTTGCCGAGTGTACTGAAAACTATTACCAAACACAATCTACAGAGGATTGGATCCAATGTCCCACTTGCTCATCATGGCTGCATGAATTTGGTACCATGTATGCTCCTATGGGTAATCGTTGTGGACGAAAAGCTAAAAGAGCATCTATCCCGAAATGATTTCCATTCATACATATATACATTATATATTATATTCCAAAGATAACTCATTTTATCAAACACTAATAGTGTCGAATTATCATTTTATTTTTATGTTTGCAACAAAGTAATATTCTAGTTTTATTTCAACAGAATTACCGTATCTTACTCTGACATTAAAGTTATCCGACTGTTCCTTTTTTTTTAATTATTGCCTATATCTTTATATTAACCCTTAACTGGTATCGTGTGGTGTTTCGACACCCCACTGATGATATTTTTGCAATTTCAACATACTTCCAATCAACTTGTTTGCCTGATACTCCATGTATTCTCCTAAAATGACGGCATCCTGTGAATACCACTTATTTTTTACATAACAGAAGGACAGTTATTGGAAAAAAGGGGGGTTGGAGTGTCCAGACACCCCACGATACCAGTTAAGGTGAATTGAAATTTAGAGACTTGTGAAAAATGAGTCACCGAATATTGAGCCAAGCAGAATTGGAGAGAATAGCTGACAGGTTTGGAGATACAGAGAGTGAAGATGAGACTACAGCTACTATCAGAGAAGAGGTCGATGATCTGAGCGATACCCCTAGTGATCATAGTGATCACGATACTGAATCAGAGATAGAACACTCTTCTGAAGAAGAGGAAGAGTTTGACCAAGAACTGACTTCACGAAACTACTACTACGGTCGAAACCGATACAAGTGGTCTACAACTCCACCTGCGCCATCTAGAGTGAGACATAACATCATTCATTTACCTGGTACAGAGGACCAGCTCTAAATAATAAACCAAATACTCCTTTAGATGCTTGGTCTCTTCTGTTTACTCGGAATATAATTGATCTTATTGTTGAACATACCAACCAGAAGATAGCGGACTTATCTGTATGCTATTGTGGGGTGTTTTCAAATCTGGTAATGAAGATATTGTCAGCTTATTTGCAAATGATGGTACTGGCAGAGATATATTTCGAGCAACCATGAGCGAGAAGAGGTGTTTGTTCCTCTTATCAGCTTTACGTTTCGATGATTACGAGAGATGCCCGAAAAGCAGGTGGGGATAAGCTTGCTCCCATATCACAGATTTACGGAATATTGAACGAGAACTGCAAACAAAACTACACGTGAAGGGAATATGGAGTTGTGGACGAGATGCTCGTGGGGTTCCGAGGCCGATGCTCTTTCCGGCAATATATAAAAAGTAATCCGAGAAAATACGGAATAAAAATAATTTGCCTCTGTGACTCAAAAACTCACTATTTGGTGAACTCTTTTATCTATTGTGGAAAAACCAATGAAGCGAATCCTCGCACACTTTGGATTCCAACTCTTAGTGTAATGAAATTGGTAGAACCGATATTGAATTCCAATCGGAACGTGACCGGTGACAATTGGTTTTCATCCATAGAACTCGTCGATGAGTTGGGTAGAAATGGTTTGACATATGTTGGAACGATGAGAAAAAATAAAGGTGAAATCCCAAGGAAATTTCATCCTCACAAGGATCGCCCTGCACTCTCTTCAGAGTTTGCGTTCACACGTGAGAAAACTTTGGTGTCGCACGTGCCAAAGAAAAACAGAAGTGTAATTTTGCTATCAATGATGTACCATGATAAATCTGTGAGTGACACCAACCGCAAACCTGAAATCATAGAGTTCTACAACTCAACCAAAGGAGGCGTAGACTCTCTAGGCCAGAAATGTGCTGTGTCTTCCTGTCAAAGACGAACACGAAGATGGCCCATGGCAGTATTCGGCGCTATTCTAGATATTTCAAGAGTCAACAGTTATGTGCTCTTGAAGACATCTAATGAAAACAAGAAGATGACAAGAAGAGAATTCACTATAATGCTGGGAAAATCACTAATCCAAGAACATTTGAAGCAACGGCTACGTAACGGCAAGTAAAAGAACTTTCCTCCGAGTTGCGTAACACTATCATTAAAATACTGGGCGAACAGCATAACAATACTGACAGACATGATGCAGCAGGGCCAGCGAGGCTATATGAGCGATGCAGCTATTGCCCCAGAAAAAAAGGATAGGAAAGTCAAGTCAAAATGTGCTCAATGTCAAAAATCAGTCTGCAAAGATCATTCCAGACAAATAGTGGAGTGCTTGGAGTGCAGAAACAGGTAATTTTCATTCAAAAACTATAACTCATAACAAAAAAAGGAAAAATACCATTAAATTATTGATTTACCCCTACCATTTTATGGCCAATTAATATCAAAAAATAAAATGTACTTTTTTGAAATGCACGCTTAATTACCTTGCATTTGATGCCCCACAAGTCATATTTTGACAAGTTTTGAAATCACCCCTTTTTTTGCTAATATGAGGTTGATTTCATTCATTTTCAAATGGGACCAGCTCAGGTACCAAATTTCATCAGTTGTTGTACGATCACCATAACTCACACTATACCTATGGTATATACATGTGAGCTAAAAATACAGAAAAAAAAACACCCCTGTCAGAATTTTTGTTATGTCATAAAAATTATTTTTTTGTTTCAGGAACTGAGAATGGACATTCAGGTAGAAGTCTACAAGAAAGATCTAGAAAGTTTCATTTCAGTACAAAGTTGTGTGAAGCTAAGTAAGAGTATGTTTTTCATTTCTGAAAAACGTAGTCTTTGAAGATTTTTTTATTTTTAGTGTAAAATGTTGATTTTTACGTCTTTTAGCTTCTATGAACGTTGTTGTTCTTTAGAAAATAAAGTTATTTTAAAAAAAAATTGTATGTGTTCAAAAAATATAAAAAAATGGGGTGTCGAAACACCCCACCATACCAGTTACGTTGCTGGAAAGAACGACACCAGCTAAGGGTTAATATATTGAAGGTAGTGGGGCAATTTGCAACTCGTGGGAGGCGTATTACCTGAGGGTCAGTTCATAAAACGACCCACTCAAGGTTCTGGAAAATATGTAATCAATATTTGTTTAAACGATTTAGATCGATGTAACAAGTGTCTTTACGTTGTAAAAGAGCCAAACTATGCCCCTGATTAAGATCTTATTGATATCTTCAAATGCTTTTTTTCAATAGGACCTAGAAGAAAATTGGGGCGTATTACCCACTTTTCCCCTATAAGAATTTTGTTATGTCAACGCCTTGTTGGAACACCTCATTGATATTAGCATCCAAGCACATATTAACTAGTTTTGTATAAAATTTTTCGCGGATCTATGGACAGGAACAACAAAAATTTTATGTAACTTTTCAAATACTGCATTCAACTTTGGATCCTCATCACGTGATGAGGCGTCTCTCCCATCGAAAAGGGATAGATGCCGGATAGGGAGGGTAGGAGAGATGCCTCAAACATACGGAACATGGAACGGAAGTCAAATCAACTTTTATTCAAAAAAAGCTTAGACATACAATTAGTACTGTTGCAAGTTGCGCTCGGTTTGTTTGAGTAAAAAATTTATATACAATGTGTCTAGAACAGGATATTAGGCGTCTTTTTTAATGGAAACCAATAACAAAAAAGAATTAACCCCTTACCGCATTCTGTCCCAAATTAGGCACACGTGAAATATATGTTATTTTTCAAGTCGCCCAACAGCTAAAGACCTTAACCTTAACTGTTCCATATCTGGCACGCTCGCTTCTCTATCGCCAAGAAACATTGTCGCCCTCTAGCACGTATTTTATGAATTGCGTCAGATTTCGTTTAGCGGCCCGTAAGCATGTGTTACTACATTCGCTTATAAAGTTGTGGCGGTCATAAAACGTTCAAAAATCAAATTTTTGATGCAACTAAAATTATCTACGTTCTGGTAAGTATATCTTATTGTGACTTTTGTAAAATTATGTCCTTCAACTCATACACATGTTGATTTATCGTCATTTGTTTTCTTGTGCCATAATCGGAACAACTTGCAGTAAAAGAAAGCTGACTATATTATTGCCCCTTTTTTCAGATGGATGCAAAACGATTTTATGGTGCTAAAACTGTTGGGATTCCAAACTTGAGTGGCAGTGAAGATGAAAATTTGTCAGATGATGATTTTTACCGAAAAACATTTTCTCAAGTTCTGGTGGAAGATACCAGTGAAGAAGAACAGCTTGATAGAGAGATGGTCGAAGATATTGTGATTGAAGAAAGTAATTTTTCCGATAGTGAAGACGATGTTCCCCTTTCAACTCTCATTGCAGCAAACAAGGCAAAGAAAAAACAAGGTTTGTTTTGATTGGGAAGATAAACAGTTGAGGGTATCTGACGAAGACATATTATTCAAGGGATCTCACTCCTTAGGAAAAGATATTTTGAATTTGGGTGGTATATTCGAATTTTTCAAGTTTTTCTTTACGGATGACATACTGGTACATATAATGGAACAGACCAATTTATATGCTATCCAATGTAGGCCTGAAAAGCCACCAAATATAACTAAAGAAGAGATACATATTTTCATTGGAATTTGCATATACATGTCTGTAGCGCACCTGCCATCCACTAGAAGCTATTGGAGTAGTACACTGAGAGTTACTGCAATAACCAAAGCTATGACATGTAACAGATTTGAAGAAATAAAACGTTTTGTCACTTCAATGATAATACGAAGCAACAAAATCGCGATGAACCTGGTTACGATAAGTTGTTCAAAATTCGTCCTTTTTTAGAAAAAGTATGAGAGAGGTACCTACTTGTCCCAAAAGAAGAGCATCTTGCAGTTGACGAACAAATTATACCAACAAAAGCTCGATCAACCCTAAAGCAATACAACCCAAAAAAACCTCATAAATGGGGCTATAAAGTTTTCGTACTAAGCGGAGTATCAGGCTTCAGTTATGATTTCGACTTCTTTTCTGGGCCAACTAAGTTGCAGCCTTATCAACCAGATTTTGGGGCAAGTAGTAATGTGGTAGTGAAACTTACAAGGATTTTTTTTGATAACTGGTTCACCGGCCTTCCATTACTGGTTTATCTCAGCAAAGAGGGCATTTTGCCTCTTGGTACTGTCCGCAAAAATCGTGTGCCAGATTGCGAATTTCCTAAGGAATCTGTGATGAAGAAAACAGGTAGAGGTACAATTATGGAGACAGTTGCTCGAGTCGATGGCGTAGATGTTTCAGTAGTTTCCTGGTATGATAACAAAATAGTTACCACAGTTTCAACTTACGTAGGCAGTCGACCCATTTACGAAGTACAGAGATTTTGCAGAAAGGAAAAACAGCACATTATGATTCCTCGTCCAAAGAGTATAGAAATATACAACAACTATATGGGAGGTGTTGATCTACTTGACTCGATGTTAGGATACCATAGGATACTTATAAGGTCAAAAAAAATTTTACCTAAGAATATTTTTCCATTTCCTCGACATGTTGTGCTGTAATAGTTGGATATTGTGGAGAAGAGCTCTCACTGAGAACAATTCTGATGACTATTTGCCACTGGCTGAATTCAAACTTGGTTTAGCAGAAATTCTAACAAGATCCCACGTAACTTCGAAAAAGCAAGGCAGCCTAATAGCTCACTACTGCCTCAACTGGATTTAAAAAAAGGAAATATCCTATTGCGGAAATACCAGCCCAAGAAATTCGTCGCGACAATGTGGGACATCTTCCTGAGTGGCATGAAGATCGCCAAAGAAGCAGATTTCCTGAGTTTAAGGGGAAAACACAAGTTTGGTGTGATAAATGTAATGTTAGATTATGTTTGAACAAAGACCGTAATTGTTTTCGCCGTTCTCATCTGGAGTAAATAAATGTTTATTCAAAATTACATTTAGTTTAAGTGTTTTCCCAAGTATTTTTAACGATTTATAACATATATGGTTTCAGTAAATGTTTCCGTTATTATTCAACTATTGCAATTTGTGTCAAGTTTGGCACATGTCGAAAAAGGCTATTTTAAACAAAAAAGCAATAATTTTTTTATATATTTTTCTAGTTACTTTTCTAATATGAACTAGCACATATATTTATTTTCACAAAAACAAAAAAATCATGCAGTAAGGGGTTAATAATATTCTGCAGGCTGCAGCACGTACTATTGATCGTAGAATTAAATCTGGAAAGCTTACAAAGGGTCCTCTTGGACCTGAAGGTAAAGTTTGTAATAGTTTTTCAGGCATTATTGGTAAATAAATAGGTGTACTTGGACAATCAAACGAAAGGAGGATGGTGACTCATATTAAAAAATTATGTCAAGCTGGATTTGCACCAGACCATATCACAGTTCGTAAAATGGCGTTTCATTTTGCCGAAAAACTTAATATAAAACATGCATTTTCAAAAGAAACTGGAACAGCTGAAATCCATTGGCATAGGTCCTTCATGGAAAGGAATCCAGACCTATCAATTCGTCAGTCAGAGGGATTATCATTGGCCAGAGCACAAGGTATGAATCGCCTAGAAGTAGCCAACTTTTTCAAACTTTTGAAACATGTTTTATCGGAAAAAAATCTGATTGACCGTCCATCAAACATTTTCAACATGGATGAAGCTGGAATTCAGCTCATAAATAAGCCAAGCTAAGTTGTTGCACCCAAAGGTGCAGAAGATGTGCACATTTTGACATCCAGAGAACGGGGAGAAAACGTGACGGTTATAGGATGCTGTAATGCTGAAGGTGTGTTTCTTTCACCAGTTTTAATTTTGAAAGGAGTAAACCGAAAGCCTGAATTTTCAAATGGTTTACCAGCGGGTTCCTCCATTTACATGAACAAAAAATCTTCCTTTATCACATCTGAACTCTTTTTGAAATGGCTCAGGGAGCATTTTATTCCGAGAAAGCCTCCAGGAAAAACTCTGCTCATCATGGATGGACATTCATCACATTGCTCTTACCTTGAAATGCTAGAAATTGCAAATCAAAATGATATTTTGTTATGTCTGCCCAGTCATTGTACACAGGCAATGCAGCCCCTGGATAAAAGTTTTTTTGGACCGTTAAAGTCTTATTGGAACCAGCAATGCAACACTTGGATGGTTAATCATCCCAATAGAAACCTAAGAAGATACCAAGCAGGGAAAATACTTGGAAAGGCTTGGATTCGGGCAGCTACAGCAGCAAATGCTATATCTGGCTTCAAAAGTACTGGCATATTTCCTTTAGATGCAAATGTGATACCAGACCATTTTTATGCTATATCGGATTTATCATCAAGAGAAATAAATGGAAGTAGTTCCACGACTGAGACACCACCAGAGGATTCACGGAATTTGAACCAGCAATCTTTAGAGCCCCAACCCAGTACTTCAGGTTTAAATTTGAATGACACAAGAGAGAAGTCCACCATCTAAATTCTTACACGAGATCAGACCAGTTCCAAAAGTTCCATTATTCTATAGTAAAAGAAAGCAATCTGCTACATTGCTTACATCTCCAGAAAACATCCTTCTAAAGAAAAACAAGCAGTTACAAGTAAAAAAGGAAACAAAAACATTTTGAGCAAGATTGAAGAGAAGGAATAAAAAAAACAAAATCTAAAAGACAAAAAACCCGGATCATGAAAGTGACAGTAATAATTCCAGTGATGAGGAACCATTAGCTAGAAAAATAAAAAAACAGGAACTAACAACTGAGAAGAAGCAGATGCAGTCAAGACCTGAAGCTTACGAGGAAAAATCCTTGAATAAAGTAGAAAAGTCTGAAGAAAATTATTATTGCATAGAATGTTTTGAACAATATAGCCAGACAACAAAGAAGGTAGATTGGATACGTTGTGTAATCTGTCAAAAATGGTTACATGAGACGTGCACTATGCATACGAACACCTGCAACATATACCAGCGCGAGGAAATGAAAAAGCACGTGTTACTTAATACGGCGTCTCTCCCATAAGAAAAGTTACACGTGAGCATCTCTCCCCTACTCTGAGGCACAGACGCCTGACAACAAAGTTTTGGGAAAAATGTTTTATCGGTTATTGGAATTAAAATTTCTATTTTTTTTTATATTTTTGTATATTGTAGATCAACTAAATGTACCCTTGCCATTTTTGTAAGAAATATATTATAAAAATGACCCTCTAAATGTGAGCGTCTCTCCCATGCCCTGGGGGACAGACGCCTGAAAACAAAGTATTGAAAAACATTTTTTTTTTTGTTATTGGAATAATAATTTTTAGTATTTATATTTTTTAATTTTGTAGATCCCCAAAATTTAACTTTACCGTTTTTGTAAGAAATATAGTATAAACATGTCCTTCACACGATTTTATTTGTAAAAGTGTTGCAACTGTCCCACACTTACCCTAATGATGTTAGACTTTCTTGATATTCCCTTCTGTATATAAGAATTCATAATTAGTATTTTCTTAATCAATATTAGTAATAATCCTTCAGCAGTTGGAAAAAACGTCTAGCTACTACGGATCTTTCTTGGTATAATGTCTTGTGGACACAAGAAAACACTATCGATTAGGTCTCTACATCACGGGCAAATGATACCAAATCTAAGTATAAATATCCACTTAATAAAAATAGCCTTACAGTTAAAAGGCTCATTGATAGCAACATGGTTCACAATCTATTGAAGATTTGCAAATGCCAAAGGAACTGTGTGAAAGGGGAACCTACACCTCAAATCCCGCTCAGGAGCAAAAAGGAATGGAAAGAGAGATTATTTAATGAAACAGATTCCTCCTCAGATGATGCTATGTGATTAGCTAAGGGACAGAATTTAATTCGTAGAGTTTTTCCTAGTAATCGAGATATCGTGAGTAAAAAGCAGAATGACAATGTTTTATTATGACACATTGTCTTTGACACTTTTAGCATAAGAAACTTCTAGTATTCAAGATACCTCATGTACCAAGAATGTAAGAAGCTGTTCAGTGCCGCCTTTACTAGAAAATTGTGAAACGCATTATACCTCATCAGCTGAATGTGTAGAGTGTGTATGAACTTCATAAACAAAATTCTTTATTTTATTATTATATTATACTTGATTTTCAGCTCCTACAAATGTAATTCAACTCATCAGCAAATACCAGAGAACAACTCCACTCCAGTTTCAACAAGGAATGACACATTTCAAAATCAAATAAATTTTAATAGCATCGGCTCAAAAATGTCAGCACAAATATTTTACTATATACCTAATGAAACAAATTTTAGTAACGTAATTTTTCAAGATTTTATTTTTTGAAGGTAAGCATGGGTGGCATGCTTCAGAATATGCGTTTATTGCATCTAATCAGTGGTAAGAGTTAATCTTTGTAAGTAAGCAATAATTATCAGTATAATTCTAAATGTGCCTTTGTTGTATCTAAATAGTGTTCAAAGTATAGCAAGCGCTAAAGGCATATTTGGAAATGTGGCTTCATTGCATATAAATAGTGGTTAAAGTAAATTAGTAAATACGGTAATATTATGTTATTAAATTCTAAATATCTCCAAACATTTACGCAAACAGCAAACTCGTTTTGTGGGTAGTAGCTCATTTTTGTGGCAGAAGATCGGTCCCACGATTTTGGGGAAATGTGTATTATTAATTAATTTTTAACAAATTCATGTTAATCCGTAAACATTTTAAGACATACAATATTATGCAGGAATTAAACTGAAGAAAGAATCTACCGGTAAACAGTTCAGGATGGTACCCGAAGCTGGCAATGCAGCCTCGACCAAATTATCGAATACAAGCATGGAAAGTGAAATCCCAGAAAGTGGAGCGGACAAAGACAATACAGCGCCACAACAGGTCACAGAAGCTGCTGTTAGGAGTGAAGAGCTTCCATAACATCTGCCGGAGGATCATTGTTGCGAGTTTGTCGAAAATCAGATACAAGAACAAAGCGAGTACCTCGTCTTTTACCACATAATTACCAAATGCAAGAAAGAGAAGCAAAGGAGGGACATGTGTTACGACAACGCAAAAGCTCTCGGAAGCCGTTATCAGAAGTGAAGAACTTCCAGAATTTAGTTTTCAAGAGAACTGCGACAGGATAGTCGATAGTAAATGAAGAATAGCAGTCGAACGTAGATCCTTTTTCATCGGATGATTCAGTAGGGGATTCCGATTAGAAAGAAATAGTTGGATCGCAACCTTCGCTAAGCCCAGTGGGATGCCTACAGATGAGAAAAAGATTAGGAAGAGAAAAGCAAGACCCTGTGAATGGAAAAGAGATAGAATAAAGGTATTAAGAAACAGTGGACAAGAATACCAGTCTCTAAACAAACGTACACCGGTGCCTAGCAGACAAATGACTCCACCCAGTGACGGCAGTTGCAAGCTGAAATGTACTACAAAATTCACTGAAGAAGATAGGAAGTCTCTGTTCACAGAGAACTGGAATTTAGCCAATATAAACAAATAAAGGGTATTTATTGCTACTCTGTTGCAAGTAATGACGCCGAAATACACCTACCTACTAATCAACAGTAAACGAAAATGAACAAATAACAATTTCATTGGAAAAAGAAGAGATGAGACAAGAGAAATTTTTTACTTCAGCTTTTGGCTTTACCAATCGTTTTATTCGCAGTGATTTTGAAGATAAAAGAGGGAAGCATGGCAAGCAAACCCGTACACCTGACGAAATTAAAAATGATTTTCGCGCTCACGCTCACATTGCGTCAATACCTCAGATGGAGAGTCACTAGACAAGAGCACAGTGAGAAACAATACATAGAAGGTAGCAAAACCATAACTGATCTATACGCAGATTACAAAAAAAATCCATTCGTAACATGTATAGAAGTATATTCAATTATGAATTTAACCTGGCATTCTTCGTTCCTAAAAACGATCTTTGCAATCCAGGTTTGTTGTTTTGACTTGCAAGCTGTACAGCCATGTCCCCAAGGAGATGTTTCTGTTTTTTATTATAAATCAAAGCTGTCGACTAACAACTTCACTATGTGTGACCTAAAAAAACGGGACAGGGACAAGTGGTGTGCTTCATGTGGCATGAGGGCCAAGGAAGATGCAGGTCAAATGAAATTGGTTCGTGCATATTAAAATATCTTTTAAATACATGGCTCCTGTTCAAGAATATCTGGAAGTAGTGTTTTTTCGGACAACTGTACTGGCCCCATATCTTTATGCATTATAGAAGTACAACATATAATCAATTTTACGCATAAATATATTGTAACAAGTCACCCACAAAACGAAGGCGACAACGTTCATTCTGTAATTGAAAAAAAAAAACGTTCCCTAAAATCGGGGCCAGGTACCTTATTTGGAAAAATTCTAGCGCAAATTGATAAATTATACATACTACCAATATCAATAATGAATATTTTGTAAATACATACAAAATATATTTTTATTATATATTTATTATATATTAAAAGACATGTCGCTACCAATATTTAACAAACATTGTTTTGAATATTCAATGAATATTTCGAGCTATCGCTATGTTTACCATCGAATTATCTAAACAGACATCAAATACGATGTTCTACATCTAGCTATAATTTTTTGGTTGAATCTCTTGGAAATTGTTGCCTTGAATATGCAAATGAAGTGAGACAGTCAAATAGACATGAGGCTGTAAAATCTAACACTTGACTCACTTGTGAAAGAAATCTCAAACTGAGATTTAATAAAATAAACGTGCAATAAACTAACTGAACTGATGCAAGGCGAGCTTATCTGAGGTTCTGTAAATTGAACGCGACTGATGTTAACTCATAGTGCTCATCTGTATTTTCTCAGAGCAATGCTTTTTCGAAATGAAATCGCAGAAGCTCTGGTGTATGTTTGTCTTTAGAAACGTGAGAATCAAATTCACGTATATGATGATAATTGTTATCATTCTGGGCTATCTGAAAAGCATGATATAATGTTCTACTTTTATTTACCACAGTGTAAAGAACCCAATTTTATATTGCTTGATTTCTTTCATAATCGCAAAGCAGCTTTTAAGGAAAACAAATTGAATATTGATTTTGAAAATAAACAAAAATAGTGACATTGACAGTAATGACAACCGACAGGTGACGCTTCACTGCAAAAACATGGCGGCAAATCAAAGCAGCTTTTAAGGAAAACAAATTGAATATTGATTTTGAAAATAAACAAAAATAGTGACATTGACAGTAATGACAACCGACAGGTGACGCTTCACTGCAAAAACATGGCGGCAAATCAAAGCAGCTTTTAAGGAAAACAAATTGAATATTGATTTTGAAAATAAACAAAAATAGTGACATTGACAGTAATGACAACCGACAGGTGACGCTTCACTGCAAAAACATGGCGGCAAATGTCATTCGTGTTGCCCGACGAAATGCTTGAGTAGGCGTTCTTTCCGTGTATGTTTTATGGTTAAAGTATCATGGGAAGCCATAGTGTAGCGCACATTGCACGGTCTAAATGGACTAGTCTTGTATCATCTCCTGGCACAGAGAGGCGTGAACGCAACAAATAATACGGACCTGTGGTTAGCTAACAAAGGTGTAAACATGACCTGTCAAAAAAGATTATTCTGTAACTGTGAAATCTCAATAAAACAGATAGATTCCTTTTTTTCCTTTGAATCTTTGGTCTCTTTGATGATCAACTATTTTTTTCTTTTCAAGAAGTATAAAGTTCATTCGTTAGGCCAATCGATAAAAGCACAAACAGGGTAAGTTTTTAGTGTTGGCGTAGTCGATAACTCGGTTATTACCTAAAAAAATTAATTACAACAATTAATGCCAAGAGGATGCTCCTTACATGGAAAATATTTATAGGTTGATTCATATCTACCAAGCATACCCAACTTTGACAACTCACACCTCCTCAACAGTTATAGCTCGAGTACTGCTGAAGAAAGACAAATTTCATGATCCCATATTTTCCAACTATTTACTTACTTTTTTGATAGATTATGCAGGGTGGCCAAGAACACAAAATCAACCATTACACAAACTTTTTAAATAGAACACGCATTCTTTAACTCCCCTTTTGACGAGCTTTTTTATATGAGGCTTATGGGGGCTTGTATGACTGGTTTTTTAGTAACAGAGAACCCTTCTGTAAGTTAGACATCTAGAAAATGAAAAGGTGAAAATTTAGTGAAACAAGTGGGTTGGCAGAAAATATGGATCATACAATTTTCCTGACGAAACATTCAGCACTACAACTAGAACAGTTGCAGAGGTGCAAGTTGACGAAGGTAGGTGTGTTTTTTTTCGATAGATTGTACAATGTCTCAACAATTTAAAAACAAAACCCCATAGTATCTCAAATCAAATTACTTCGTTTGAAAGGGCATAGCTTAATCTGCAATGAAATGTAGGGTACTCCACTTTAAAAAAATGTGTTTGAGTCACCTCGTAGTTACAACTCACCCTGTAGAGACAAAAATATTTTCCATGTCAGGAGTATACTGTTGGGTTCGATTTTTGTATTCAAGTTTTTTATTTACCATGCATAATAACGCATTTATCGACCGAGGCACCACTAAAAACTCACTCTGTAAATGACTTCTATGACGCTTCTGCTGCTACGTAAGAATTTTACAAAGCAAAGACCATATTGCCACAATAATTAATTGGATAGATTAAGAAAGCCGTTTCATCAGCGAGACTACCACATTGAGTTTTCATGTTGCATTATACAAAGACGTCAAAAAATATTTTCACAACCGAGGGTACTTCACCCTCGGTACCACGCATCCATCGGCACGGGTCGCCTGACACCTTGGATTGGGGTATACTTAATTGTGCAAAAATATTTTGATATTATCTACTGAAAATCGAAAGGTAACCTGGTAGTTTGGCCCAATCTGACAGGATGAGCTATCACATTGTCCAATATAGAAAGTTAACATATGACCTAATCTTTTATAACTTGGTTTATAAGAAGACTCACAAAGTGGACAATGCCAGATAGAAAACAATAACAGTTATATATAAAGTAAAATCATCCAAGTTGTGTGGGCTGTAGCAATTATATATGCTATTAATAAAACACCAATATCAAACTCAATTGTTCAAATATGTTTGGGCCAGTCTGTACTAGGCCAGAGCTTTTTTCAGCCAGCGCCAAAGCGACTATTGAATGGGCGCCCGCATGGGGAGGATATTGGAAATGCGGTTGGACTTCAATTTCTATATTCAGCATGATTTTCTGTACGATTTTGAGGATTTCTAATCCCCCTAGGAAAATTTGCTACCACCCGCTCTTCAAAAAACTTTGGTGGTAGGTACGCTTTCACAAAAACTTATCTCTTGTCAATGATCACTCCCCTCTTGATAAACATTCCTGCGGCCGCCCATGGTCTATTGCGATAGAACATAGTTCTATACTTTGTAGGCTTTGCAGTTATCATTGTTGACTTTTGCGCAGGCTAAGCATTAGAAGTTTTCAACTGCAAACCTACCGACGTTAAAATAATAGCTAGGCCTGTTTCCACCCTACGCCATCTAGGAGGCAAAAAGCTGGTCTTTGTAGGGCATTTTTGTTAGTAACTTTTTCTGAGTTTCTTGTACGATTCAGCGCAATGTTTTACCGATTTTCCACAACATTTTTGATGTTTAATGGCATATTTATGAGTCCTGCCTATTACCGACACAGGCCAGCTGTTTAATGAGCAATAGCTCAGTTCCTGTAAAACATATCTAGAAAAGTTATTTACGTATACTATAGGCAACTATATCCTCATAACTAGGTGGCAACAAAAACTAGATTTTTTTTTAATAGCCCCTTTAAAATAATATTTTTGATACCGCATACTATAGAGTTTGGACCGCTACCTCTTGAGCTAGGGTGTACTTTGCCCGAAAAACACTTGGCTTTGAAAGCTTGTAAGTCCACTTTTGGAGATAGAGTAGCAAACTTTTCGGCAAAATGGGATTCATGTCCTATAATTTCTCGACATTGAAACGTTTTTTGCATTGTTTATCAGGGTTGACAAAAACATGTATTTTTTTATTTTATACAAAACACATTGTTTTAAACGTTTTTTGTTTTAAACTTTTATGTTTTAAACAAATAAAACTTAACAAAACAAAAACATTGTTTTAACCATATTTTTTCATAATTTTAATTGAAGATGTTCGATCTATTATTCTACTAAATAATAGATACCTTATTTAAAGTCCGACTCTGTACTACACTGTCGCGATCAGCTGTTACGAACTACGTCGCGCCACGCCGCCGTTAGGCTGTGCCGGTGAATCCCCGAAATAAGAAAACCAATTGCAATGAGGAACTATTGGCCTGGGGGAACCAACACACTATTTACTATTTATAAATTCGCCTTGCAAGTTAGGTATTGCAATAACGTCTACTATTATTTTGTGGTGTTCTTTTTTTGAAAAATGTCGTCTACAGGAAGGAAGGAAGAAAGATGCCATTTAGTCCTATTTTGATGTTGTTAAAGGTAATAACAAAAAATCAGTGGCTGCTAAATGTAAAAAATGTAGAGTAATTATGGCTGGACTAGTGATGCGTATGAAGAAATATATTCAAAAACGTGTTCCATCTGAAAATTCTCGGCTACCAATGTCAATTATCTATGATTCCGAGTCAGTTGAGGATTTAACGCTAGATGAGATATCCAAAACTCAAAAATATTCAAAGGATGCTTACCCAGATAATAATACAGGTAACTTTGAATTTTAAATGTTTATTTTTTTGGTATTACGGTGTTGTTTTTAACTCTCAAGGTTAGGTTAGGTTAAAACGATAATCTTGCATCATCCAAAACCCAAAATACAATAATTAAATATCGGAAGTTCCCAGTCATATACGAGGTGTCTCGAAGAATGTGAATTTTGCTCAAAAGTAAGGTACCGTTCCATAAACTTCCACATCACGAATCACGATGTAGTTTCAGAGATTCATACTGAAAATTGTTACATTCGCATCCTTTATATTGGCCAACCCTGAAGCATGATTTAATTAAAATTTAATTTGACAAAAATTACTGAGTAAACCTTTTTTTTTAGTCTATGTCAGCGTCGACATCAACAATGTCTGTTACTGTTACTGATAGCACTTTATCTATAAATGTCTACTTCTAAAAGCAGCATTCAGAAAATAAGTTGGATCCACAAATAGCCCGTTATTTATATGCAACAAGCACATCATTTCGTGCAATTGAACATCCCAAATTTAGAAAGATGATAAAATACGTCCTGGATATAAGCCACCAAATAGGAATTCTGTTTCAACCGACTTGCTTGATGAGGTTCATAATTCAGTACAAACAGCAATTAAAGAAAATTTATGCAACAACAAGGTTTGTTTAGCGTTGACGGCTTCATAATGAACCTATAATAGGCGTATGTGTCACAGATATAGAAAGTGAATGGGTGCATCTGATAAGAGTCCATTGATGCGAGCGGGAATAGTCACACTTCCGAGTATTTGTTAGACCTACCTTAAAAATTCAATTAAGAAACGTGAAGAATATAATTGTTAAGGTAACTAGTATAGTCTCAGACAACGCTGCAAATGTGACCAAAATGAGAAGGGGGAATTAGACATGAAAGATATAATAACTTATGATTGTTCAGATAGATTGAACTTATTTGCCCATGTTATAGAAGTTCCAGGAATAAAGAGTAATATCAAAAAAATGTAAATATTTCAGAAATGTACATTTTGCTAGCGCAAAATTCCGAGAAGCTGGTGGTTCTGCACTTGTATTGCCTCAGGATGTTCGTTGGAATACTTTATCGGACTGCTTGGAAAGTTACTTGAAAAACTGGCCAATATTATTATGTTCTTTGACGTTTGCTCAAACAACATAATAAATACTGATAAAGATGCTTGTAAACGATACCATTTTAAAGACAAATGCCCAAGACTATTTAAAAAATTAAAGTATGTCGCATTTGCAAAGAAACACTTGCACTATAGGAGAGGCTACAGAGATATGGCTAGAACTTTTAGAAGCATTCGAGATTGAACAAGCAAATGGATAATTTTCGGTAAGTGATACGAATAAAGTCGAGGAGCGTATGAAAACGGCTTTGACCCCAGCTCATTTTTTGGCAAATTTGCTTGATCATCGCTTTAAAGGCCATAAACTTCAAGAGCAAATAGAAACTGGCATGGAATATGTAGAAACCTATCATCCAGAAGCATTGCCAATTATTATTAATTACCAGGCAAAGTGAGTACCCTTTAAACCATATGTTTCCTAAACATCTAATTGAGAATGTAAAACCATTCGCATGGTGGCGTTCTATGAAAAATATAAATACCACAGCCTTGGAACTTGCTCAACAGCTTCATACAGCTATTGCATCGTCAGCCAACTTAGAAAGCCTCTTCTCATCATACGGTTTAGTCCATTCAAAACTACGTAATCGACTAGGCAATGTCAAAGCTGCTAAGTTGGTTTCAATTTTTAAAGAGCTTAATTCCTTCAGTGATGACTTGACTAATCAGATATCAGATTGATGACTTAGATGACTATGAGACTGAAAGAGTGTGGGGAATTTGTTAACGCTTGGATGCAAAATGTTTGGGTTTTCCAATTTTTGTTGTGTTCCTATTATTAATAAATAAATAATATTTATGTTAAAAAGTGTGTATAATGTATTTGAGAACATTTCCTATTTTTATTTATTATATTAATAAAGAAAATGAAGAAAAAAAAGCTTGTTTAAGTGTTTTAAACATGCTTCAAACTGTTTATGTCATCTTTATATACGCACAAAAAATCGAATGAAGCACCTTGCGTATTTTTACGGTTATCCTTTTTATAAGCTTCATTTTTACGAGGTTTTTTTATTGGATTATATTACTACATTTTCGAGTTATTTGCTGTTTCCCAGAAAAGAACTAAATACCACATTACTCGTGGATGTGGAAAATTTTTAGTGGATAGGCACAAGTCCTTACTTACCCAAAAAAGCATGTTTGTGTTGCCACATACTTAAGAATCACCCTGTAGAGAGCGGCATATTTACCAAAAATAAGGAACGTATAATTGCCTATAATTATGGTAAATTTTTCAAATGCCTCTCGAACGATTACAAAAACTCACTTATGTATCAGCTGTTGATTGAGACATATCTCACCATTAGTTAATTTAAATTTACTAAAAGAAAAAAGAGGTTTTTGATTACCATACTTCAGAAATACATATAAATAGACACACATACATACAATAAAGTTAAATAATGTCGGAGTCGAATTTGTTATTTATTACTTATATCGCTCCGTTGATAGAAAAGTGACATAACTCAAAAATTAGCATTTTTGAGTTAGGATAATAAGGCATCCTAAAGCATGTATACTTACCGCTAGAGAGCAGAAGTGTCAGATGTCCTCTAAACAAGGAGGCTATGCATGTTTATTGAAAAACGACAGTTGTGATTCAGATACGGTAGTGGAGTGTTGCTAGTCGTGGAGTGTTTCATAGAAAACCGTTCTCTCCAGTTGTGTCATCTTTCGTCGTGAAATAACTTTATAATCGTTCATTTCATTTATAGAAAAACGTCATATTTCGAGTTATGCCATATTTCTTTCATAGATGAGCTCATACTAATTGGTTTTATTTATGGAAGAAAGTCTTATTTCGTGATATGTCATTTTTCCTTAGAAGGTAGGTGTATTTCAGATTCATTTTATCTACAGAAAAGTGTCTTTCTTCAAGTTGTGACATTGTTCTTTATATTTTACAATAAAATATTTTAATTGTGACTGATTTCTAACCTCAAACTTGGAGATGTGACAGTTTTCTACAAATATCAGAAAATTATTTTTGGAATTATGACATTGACAGACTAATCAGTTTCTGTTTTGTTTTAGGCTACACAACATTCCTAAATCTTTTAACGATCAGGCTGTTTTGCCAAAGAGGGAAACTTATTACAAAACTAGCCTTAGAACAGCCTGCAAAAGAATGGAAGGTACTTGAGACTGTGAAAGGTTAGCAAGTTTATCCAGTTTTTCATACTATATTCAGTATAATTTATGCTTACTCACCTACTAAATTAATTCCAGATTCAACTGTTGTAGAGTGTGCAACCAAGAGTGTCGATAATGCTTCACAATGTATAATTGACGGTGAAGCTACTTTCATTGATAAAAATAATATTGCTTGTGAAATTGGCCTTAATATGGTTGATGATATTCCTGGAAGTGGTAAATATCTACACAAACGTTCTATTCACTTCAATGTGTTGTATTTCATGAAGTCTTTTAAGCAATAAGCATCAGTTTTTATACCTAATCAATAGATCACAAAAGATGACCTCTGCCCGAGCCGTAGCCCCTAGCAACCTGACCAACAAATCCTAGATTCCATGTAAATTCCAATTGAGCTGTCATTAAATAATCAGGTTTTTGAAGTACTACAGTGATTTTAGTGCGCCTTTTTTATTATTTTTCCACTCTGTGAAGTTCTACAAGAATTACTAGGAAAGGGGGCATGCTTGTATCGGTTCTGTAGAGGAAAAAAATATACTGCTGGCTGGCGTGAATCCTTCCTTGTCAACAATGACAGACAGAAGTTCTGCTACATAATTCAGGACAATTTAATAACTCTGGAAGTTTTTCTTAGACTTCATATTGCTTCATTATTTGCTTGGTAAAGTCATAGAAAAAAATCCTTGGTTCTCCCTTGTTTACTGGATAAAGTAACCTAACACGAGGTCAACTTTTGTTGGTCCTAATCTACCTTTGACTAACATGGAAACGCCGGGGCGTGGCATCACCACCTTTCTGGTCCATATTATCGAATTCGTTAGAACAATCTGAGTCCTCTGTATTTTCCAGATCATGCTTCTCCCAGTTTCTATGAATTACAGCCCATGGGCAAAACCACCAATGTAATTGGTAACGCTACCGATGAAGTTGATAGGGTAAGGTTGCCTATATTGGACCGGCTCCTTAATTGGACCTTTGCAGATTTGAGCGAACCGACAACAAGTGGTGCCATCCGTTAATACCAACTAGAACTACATCCCAAAAACTGCTAGAGTTTCAACACGTGTGCAGCTGTAAACAACGGTTAAGAAAATATAAGTGTTTTCGACATTATTTAACTTTCGATACAAAGATACTACTACTTACCGTTCAAGTAAGTAATCACAACATTTATAATATCTTTATTTCTCAAGATTCATTGAAGAGGCCATAGTTTAGGGATTATTTTCGTGACCTAACCTCCAAATTGGTAAAACCCGTTGTGGGTGAAATTTGATATTGTTTAGTTTTAGAACAAGGTTTCCTAAATTGGACCAGCAATTGACTTGTAAATTGGACCGGTCCAATTTAGGCAACCGTATATTGTGAATTAAACCAGTCCCATTTAGTTCTTGATAGATTTTTTTTCAGAATGTCATCACGTGGTAAATACGGCAAGTGGAGCACAGAAGATTTGAGCAGTGCTATTTCCGCTTTTCGTAATGGTTCTTATGGGCTGAATGAATGTGCAAGGTTGTTTAAACTACCTAAAGCTACACTAAAAAGACATCTCAAATAGAAAAACAAACGTGCAAATAATGCAATTAAAAAAATGGGCAGGTTTAGTGTATTTAATGAAGAAGTTGAAGCAGAATTTGCCAATTCTGATTTTCGAAGAGCGAATGTTCGGGATGGGCATACGAGACGTCCGCAAACTGGCATTTGAATTGGCAACAAGAAACAATTTGAAACACAATTTCAACACAGATAAACGTATGGCAGGTAAGAAGTGGTATTATGGCTTCATGTCAAGACATAAAGAAATATCGTTACGGCAGCCGGAGAAGACATCAATGGCAAGGGCTGCAGGATTTAGCAAAGCACGAGTTGATAAATTCTATGAGCTTTTAAAAACGATCTGTGAAGAGGATAAATTTACCGCATATTCAACGTCGATGAGACAGGTTGCTCAACCGTACAACGGCAATGTCAGAAAATATTAGCCAAGAAGGGAAAACATCAAATTGGGAGCATTTCTAGTGGAGAGAGGGGGGTAAATACTACTGTGGTTTGTTGTGCAAGTGCAGCAGGGCAGTTTGTACCACCCATGATAATTTTTAAGAGGAAACGTTTTCAAGAGGAACTTTCATTAGGTGCTCCGCCTGGCAGCATTGTCACTATTAGCGATACTGGATATACTCGTATCAATAGCGATCTTTTTGTGGCATGGCTTAATCATTTCATTGAAACAGTTAAGCCAAGCCCTGACGCCCCTGTTTTGCTATTGTTGGACGGCCACAGCACCCACAGTAAAAACCTAAAAGCTCTACGGATTGCCAGGGATAATGGAATTAGATTATTGCAGTTACCCAGTCACACCACACACAGACTTCAACCGTTGGATGTTGGATTCTTCAGAGCCTTTCAAAATGTTTATGGACAATGCATTCAAAAATGGTTGTGGAATAACGTGGGTCGCACTGTGTCAATGTTTCAGGTTTCCGGGATAATTGGAGAGGCTTATGGGCTTGCTGCAACAGTGAGAAATGCACAGAACGCTTTTCGTGCTAGTGGCATTTGGCCTATAGATGAAAATGTTTTTAAAGAAACTGATTTTGCAGCTTCAATGATGTTTGACAAAGCATCAAACTCTAACCATGAATCCCAACAGGAAGCCTCTTCTGAAGAAGATAATATTCCATTGGCGCAAGTCGTATTACGAACGAAGAGAGCAGCATCAACTTCCCTAAATATTTCAGTTCAGGATATTTCGCCATTACCTATAAAGAAATCAAAATCATCAAAAGTTTGCCGCACCCAGGACGCAGTTGAATTGACTAGTTCTCCGTACAAAAACGAACTTGAAGCAAGAGCTGAGGCATCTAAAGTAAATTCGGTTAAAACTACTTTAAAATTGTCGAAAATTGGTTGTGAAAAAAAGGTAGCAAATTTAGGTGTAGCTAAATCTGACAGCTGGTATTGTGAAATATGCGAGTCTGAATCAGTCGAAGAAATGATCCAGTGTCTTAAATGTAAAATTTGGTTTCATGCAAAATGTGCCAATGTATCGCTAAAAACTAAGATATTTTATTGTTCAAATTGTAAAACTTAAAATTATTGAGATTCATAATATTACATGACAATACATACATATTTTTTACATTTAGGTTAAGTTTATCCGTTACAAAACGGTGAATATTAGTTTATGTTATGTTAATATATATTTTTTAACCCGTTCCTCATTTTTAAATATAGGTTTTTAACATCGGTTCAATTTAGGGCGCAAATGGTCCAATTAAGGATGCCGGTATCCCAAATTGGACTTTTGTTTATATTTCTTTCATTTGAAAAATAAAATATTATGAACTAACATGTATCTATTATTTGTGAATTTTTGGAATATAAACAGGATTTAGTAAATGATTTTTATGATAATATTTTGAAATATTTATTAACATGTGTAATACAACAGATATTTGAAAAGTGGTCCAAATTAGGAAACCTTACCCTAGCTGGTATGGATAACGACATAACACCTGAAATTGGTAGGTAATCAGATCTTTCTTTGGTTTTGTGATTATGTTCTTTGCACATCCTCAGGCTTTATTATTATCAGAGAGTATGGTCAACGATGCTGATGAAAATGACAGTTCAACTGTGCAAGACATTTTTGATTCTGACGATACTGATGAAGACCCAAACTACTTATCTGAGACAGAAAGTGAGAGTTCATCACAGAGCGAGTCTGTGAGCGCCAATTCATTAGCTATAGGATCCTTGGGTTCCCAGCAGGGCGCAGGAAATGCTTCCAGAAATTGAAAAAATAACCACAGCAGATGTTAAGAGAACTAAGAAACGTAAGCGGAATGAGTCCCAGTGGAAAAAAATGCTGCCAAATTAGAAACGCTGGAGTTGAGTATGTGTCATCATCGAAATCCAAAAAAGTGATCCGAGCAAGAGAAATGAAGCCTCCCTGCAAAGATAGCTGCAGACTCAAATGCAAAACAAGGATTACTGAGGAGTGTCGCAAAACCATTTTTGATAACTTTTAGGCGTTTGGTGATTCACAACGACAACGAGACTATTTATCATCTTGCATGAAGACTGTTAAACCCAAATACCAATACCATCGGAGTAACTCCAATCGGCGTGACAATAATTCATTCCATTTTACAGTTAATGGAAATATTGTTAGAGTTTGTAAATCATTTTTTAAATCTACTCTGGATATAACAGATAGACCAATAAGAACTATAGTAAGCAAACAGGCTGCATGTGGAGGAATGGTGGCACAGGATCTCCGAGGAAAACATGGCAAACATCCTAATCTGGAAGCGAGCATAAAAGAAGGAATCCGAAACCATATAAACTCCATACCAAGAATCGAAAGTCACTATTTGAGAGCTCGTTCTTCTCGTGAATATATCGAAGGTGGTAGGTCCCTACGTGATCTACACAGGGATTAGGGGAAAAGTAGGTAATATGCCCCAGTTGACAAAATGCCCCACTAGCGTTTCACTGAAACAAGCACACTTTTTCGGCACAATGCGGCATCCGCGCATCGAAGAAAGTCTGCCGGCAACATGGTTTATGTTCCTACACGCGTGCTGTAGCTTGTTAAAAAAATATTGCAAAGGATAGTTTTTCAGTGGTCGGACAATTTGTGGTAAGTTCCAAACAAATTTATATATCGTTAATACTATTTGTTTTATTCCAAACTTATATGCACCATGTTAAAACATATAAAATTGGCTTCATGCTCTGTGTGTGTCAAACAACATAACCTAAAATTCCTTTCTTGCATCAGAGTGGGGCGTTTTAGACACCATATTTTACAATATGCCCCATTGTATGGTTTATAATTCGCCCCACCATTAAAACCGCAAATATTATTCATGGTTCTTATGTTTTCCAGAATATGTCACGAAAATATGAACGGAAGTCACTACGAGCGAAATAAGCAGGATGATCAATGCTACTGTTATGTTTGGGATGAAACTCAAGGACAAAGAGGGGCAAATCGTTCATTCGCAGGAAAACCGTCACAACTCAAAAAAGATGAAAATCCAGATTACTACACCAAACGGTTCAGAATTATCTACTTTATTATGTGGAAAAGTGTCACATCTCGACTTTCTCAAACTACCAACAGGTGGCACTTATGTCGTTTTTGAAGTGACGTATCCTTGGTACCCCTTATAGGTCTAAAACGGCACAATTCAGTATTAATCCAGTCGTCATAGGGGAATGTACTAGCTTTGAGTGGAAAACCGTCATATTTCAGATTAAAACACGTATTTTTTTCCGAGCTATTGAAGAAAAGTGTAGCATTACGTGTTACTACGTTTTGATAGGCAGTGTTCTTGGACGAAAACTGTTATATTTCGATTTGTGTCATTCTTCAAGATAAGGTAAGCCCTAAAATATTCTTTTATTTCTTTCCTAGACCGTCACATTTAATGTTGTGTCAGTTTTCTCCTGAAATTGATGGCAAAACCGTACTATTTTGTGCAGCATTTGTGGATATGTCGGTTTTCTACTGAAATTGACTCTAGAAAGTATACTTTGTTCTACTAGGCAGTCTGATAAGTACCTGAAAATTCTAAGAGATGGCATTAGTATTCACTAATGCGAACCATTTTTGTCGAGCCTGATCCTTCAAATGACACCTGTCAAAACTTCAGCCATTCATGTTTACACATTTACAAGTTACAGCACTGAGAAGCGACTAACCTCAGAGTTTTTTTTAATATGGAAAAATCCGAGTTTCGAGTTTTGATCAAACACTACTATCTACGCAAGAAAACGATATCCGAGACCAAGGCCAAGCTGGATAAGTATTACCCGGACTCTGCACCGTCGATTGGAACGATTCATAAGTGGTTTACGGAGTTTCGTTGTGGCCGTACAAGCACAGTTGATGCTGAACGATCTGGGCGCCCAAAAGAGGTCACTACACCAGAAAACGTCGAAAAAATCCATGATATGATGTTGAATGATCCCAAAGTGAAATTGAGAGAGGTAGCTAATGCTGTAGGCATGTCATTGGAACGCGTAGGCAATATCGTCCATTCAGTTTTGGGCATGAAGAAGCTCTGCGCGCGATGGGTGCCGCGTTTGCTCACAGTGGACCAAAAACGAATTCGTGTGACGACTTCCCAGCAGAATTTGGCATTATTTTCGCGTAAGCCGACCGAGTTTTTGCGACGATTTGTAACCATGGATGAAACCTGGATCCATTACTACACTCCTGAGTCAACGCAACAGGCAAAACAGTGGGTTCCACCGGGCCGAAGTGCTCCGAAGCGTCCAAAAACGCAACAATGGGCCGGAAAGGTTATGGCCTCCGTATTTTGGGATGCTCATGGCATAATATTCGTGGACTATCTTGGAAAAGGTAAAACCATAACCGGAGCATATTATTCATCATTATTGGACCGATTGAAAATCGAAATCGCCGAAAAACGACCGCATTTGAAGAAGAAAAAACCGCTTTATCATCACGACAATGCGCCTGTTCATTCATGCTTAGTTGCACAAGCAAAATTGCACGAAATCGGCTTCGAATTGGTTCCTCAGCCACCGTATTCACCAGACCTGGCCCCCAGCGACTATTACTTATTCCCTAACCTGAAGAGATGGCTCATCGGTAAGCGTTTTTACTCAAATGAGGAGCTCATAGCTGAAACTGAAGCGTATTTTGGAGACCTTCCGATCGAGTACTTTTCGGACGGTATCAAAAAGTTAGAAAATCGTTGGATTCGCTGTATCGACCTAAAAGGAGAGTATGTTGAAAAATAAACCCGACTTTGGCCAAAAAAACGTCTCCGTGTTTCATTTTTCAGGGACTTATCAGACTGCCTAGTATATTGCAACATTCGGTTTTGCCACTTTTATGTGTAACATTTTTAATGTGTATTAGACACTTGCTTCAAGTAGCTGATTTCAGAGCATACAAGTTGTATTTACAGTGATGACTACTCATTCATAAAGCAGTTCCAAATACACTATCTGGCTTGATTCAAGCACAGCCAGACTGCTGAACCTCCCGATGAAACCGATGTGTTTGTTCAGATGGGTGTCGTGTTTATAATAAAGCAAAATGGCAACAAATAGCCGTTGTTTCTGAGTTATATTTTCCAGATTATAGATTAATCCGACGTGTTCGCTCTTGTGTTGCGACGTTGCCATATTGAGCAAAAAGTACCAGATCACATTACATAAAGAACAAGCATTACGTTGAATCTATTAAATGAGTTTTGCTGATCAGGCTGGAGTTTGGGAATTGATTGAGTATGGTCAACATACATGATATTCCATGTATTTCGAGGAATTATTCAAAATTATTGGTTTCTGAAACTATAATTTAATTTGCCTCAAAAAAGCTGAAAAATATGTTTTCAGGAAACTAATACCAATTTTTATGAATTTTTTTTTAATTTTAGCTATGGAGTATAGTAGTCGAACAAGGAAGATGGTGGCAGATGCCCTAGAAATGCAGAAAGAGAACTTGGCAATATGTCAAATTGCTGAAGTGCCTGGAACAAGCAATGGGCTTGACTCTGACTCTGGACCTGAAGAAGACCCATTGGGTTCGGATGACTCCAGAGCTGACCCGGATTTCAGTTCCAATACCAGTGAATCATCAAGTGATTCCAATGGAGGTTTCGCAGAAGAGACTGGCCAGAGTTCGCACCGCTGCTCAAATGTAGCTAGAAAAGTAGTAAATTGCAGCCAGACAACCAAAACTGGAAGAAAGCGTTTAAGGTTCCCGGAAAAGTGGCGAAAAAATGCTGCAAAAGCTCTGAGAAACGAAGGTAAAGAATACGTGTCAGTTTCGAAAACCAGAAAATTGCACCCTTCTAGGACCATTCTGCCTCCCTGTGGAGACAAATGCAAGCTGCAATGCAGCAAGAAATTTACAGATGAAAATCGTAAAACTCTTTTTTCCGAATATTGGGGCTTAGGCAATTTACATAGGCAACGAGACTTTTTAGCCACAAGTATGTCCCTAGTTCAGCCTAAGTATCAATATAAACAGGACGGTAGCCATCGCCAACAAAATAACGCTTTTTACTTCATCCTGAACAATCAAAGGACTCGCGTATGTAAATATTTTTTCAAAGCTACACTAGCTATAAATGACAGACCGATTAGAACAGTGGCTCAAAAAAAGGCATTAGCACCAACTGGGCAAATCATAGAACCTGACAGACGAGGTAAGCATGGGAAACATCCAAAATTGGACGAAGGCATAAAAAATAGCGTAAGGAGTCATATAAGAAGAATACCAAAGATAGAGAGTCATTATGCGCGCTCAAATACGACCAAAGAATTTATAGAAGGAGGGAAATCCGTAGCAGACCTTCATAGAGAATATGTAATGCTTTGTAAAGAAAAAAAGGTTGCAAGTGCGAACTACAATATGTATTTCAAAATATTCAATGAAGAGTTCAATCTATCTTTTTTCGTTCCTAAGAAAGACCAGTGCGACTTTTGTACTGCTTTCGAACAAATGAGTGCAGAAGAGAAAGCTTCTCAATATGAGAAGTATAATGAACATCAAAAAGAAAAAGAACTGTCAAGGGAAGAAAAAGAAAAAGACAAAAATTCAGACATGCACGTAGCCGTGTATGACTTGCAAGCAACATTGCCCTGCCCCAAAGGAGATACTTCTAGTTTCTACTATATATCAAAGTTGAATGTGTATAACTTCACAGTTTTTGATCTAAAGAAGAAAGATGTTGACTGCTATGTTTGGCATGAAGGCCATGCTCATAGAGGTGCAGACGAAATTGGGACATGCGTGCTCAAATACCTAGAAAATATTAACACTAGAGCTGAATCACAACAAGCGGGGATTGATGTAGTATTTTACAGTGATAACTGTGGGGGCCAACAAAAAAATAGATTCTTGTTGTCGACGTATCTTTACGCTATTTCACACTTTAACTATATAAGAAGCATTACACATAAATATCTTATAACAGGGCACAGTCAGAATGAGGGCGATAGTGCTCACTCTGTGATAGAAAGGCATATTAAAAGATATTTGAAGTCTGCTCCAATCTACACCCCTGAACAATATTACAGTCTAATCCGTACAGCTAAAAAAACAGGAAATCCATACAAAGTCACAGAAATGTGTCATTCAGATTTCTTTGATTTGAAAAATCTACCATTCCAAATGCAGTACAACAATTTCACCAATAACGCAGATAACGAAGCTTTCAAGCTTTCTGAAGTAAAGGTTATTATGATATCCAAGGATCACCTACATACTGTATTTTACAAAAATTCCTACAGTGAACAGGAATACAAAAAAATAATTGTGAGAGGCCCCTCAAGAAAGAATCACGACCTCAATAACCAATCGGTCGTGCTTAAAAAAGCATATCAACGCAAACCAGGGATAAGTGAAAAAAAGAAAAACTCGTTACTATCCTTATTTAAAAATCCTAATAAGTCAACCGTACCACGAGTTTACTTAGATTATTATAAAAATTTATAAGTTAACTCTAAACTTGTATCAAGCTTAAACTTGTATGAAGGAATACAAATTTTATACATATTTCGGCTGCACCTGCACTCCCGCAATCTCCAAGAATAGTATTAAAAATACTTTTACATTTTGAGAGGCGTTTCGGGACAGCTAAGACGTTAGTAAAGATTGTATTGCTTAATACATTAATGTTTAGGATTTACCAATTTGACGGAATTTATTTGTTTCACCTTTTTTATGTCTAGGCATGTTTCACCCATTTGTCTTTTATGTTTGATGAATGAGTTCTCAATAAGTATTGTTTGTAGTTTTATAAGGTAGCCTGGAACTTGTAATAAAAGTTTTTTTAGTCTCAATGTGTGTTTCATCTCAAAAATTGATTCAAATAATCTGGCAGAAAAGTGACACTTAGTAATTTTTTCTTGTGAAAAAAAAACAACTATGACCTCGATATTAAGAAAGAATTCCTCTAGGACACTGACAAAGTGCAATGAATGTTTTGGATTGAATAAGTTAAACATAATAAATAGTAAATACACTTAACCTTTTATATCATTATTTCAACTGCCCCTGCTGAAAATTAAAGGATTTTTAGTTGTGACGGTTATCCTGCGAATGAACGAAATGAAATTGGTTCTTGTCTCCTCAAATTCTTAGACGAAAAATCGAAAGCAAATCCTGATGATGAAATAGAAATTGTATTCCGACAACTGTGTGGGACAACAAAAAAATCGTTTTATTCTAACCATGTATGTGTATGCTTTGATTAAATATACCAATATAAAGTCCATTACCCACAAGTTCTTAATCCAAGGACACACACAAAATGAGGGCGATTCAGCACATTCTGTGATTGAGCGTCAGGTAAAACGCTGTTTGAAATCAGGTCCAATTTATTTGCCAGCAGAATTTGTTGGAATCATCAAAACTGCCAAGAAAAATGGGAGACCTTACTTAGTGAGGGAATTGTCTTTTAAAGATTTTTTTGATCTAAAAAAACTAAATGAGAAAATTGGATCTTCAGATAAAAGAAGTTCTAACGATGATAAGATGGGTGACATGAAAATAATAAAAATTTCAAAAGAAAATCCATACAAAATTCTGTACAAGATGTCTTATTCAGACGAACATTTCAGTACATTGGATATAAAAAAACCCAGAACGACGGTAAATAAAGGAAATGATGGTATAACCCTACAAAAATTGTACACACAGAAACTGAAGCTTGCCGACAAGAAAAAAAAAACAGACTACTGCAACTAGTGAAAAAAGAGCATATTCCCGTCAAACATGCAGAATTTTATAAAACATTATAATACTTTATGTTTTGTGCTTAAACATTTCAACATTCAACAATGTTTGTACATCTGCAATACTGTTTACATGTTTCATTAAAACATTTTCGAAATTTCTCGATTTTTTCTGGCGAATTTACATGGACATCTTATAACAAGTAATCGTTTTCTGATATGGAAAAGTGACACAACTAGGATAAGGGTTGAAATCTACGTCGTAATTAGGGTCCACAAGGTCAAACCATACAAATTCGTCTATTTTTCCAAAGGATACATTATAATTGAAAGTATAAAAGAAAAAAAAATATTTCATTCATATTCACTGTTCTGATCAATACGCTGTTCCATTGCAAAACTTTTGAATTGCCCATACCGAAAAAATGCAATTTTTGAATTATGTCACTTTTCTATCAAAGGAGCGATATACAGGGTGGCCAAACACGTGACGTCATAAAAAAAAAATTAGATTCCCCACATCGAGAGGAACCCAAATCACCCCCATATATATGGTCCGATTTTGTTTAGTTTAGGAGTTATGATTTTTTTTCGGATTTTTCGAGAATTTTTGAGTTCTGTGTTTATTTTTACCATAACTTCGTTAATAATTGTGATAAATGCCTGCTTTTTTCACGATTATGTAGCTAAGACCTAAGGCTTAACTATCATATAATCATTCAAGTCATGTAACTAATACTACTTTTTAATTTTTTTCAAAATCTTCGAACATAACAAAAAAGTAAAAAAGTGCAACAACTTTGAACGTTTATAAAAAATTGAAAAAACATGTTCTTACTATTCGTAAGTATCTTAAAAACATCCTTACGGTATCAGCTATTTACCGTAAAAATTTCATCAACCTAGCTTTACTACATGCTACCGTAATTGTGGCTCAAATAGAACCGAACCCAAAATTGGATAACCCTCTGCTCAATAGAAATTGTTAGTTTCGGAAAAAAAATTTGCAAAAACCACAAAAACACGTTTGATTTTTACTGAACAGCAGATTATTATTCATTTATGTTATTTACAAGAGGTTTTCAAAATGTCTGCCTCTAACAGAAATGCACAGTGTACACCTACGTATGAAATTTTGTTTTAAATCTCTAAATGCTTGTGTGTTGTTTTTCAACACATGTGTCGCTTCTTGAATTTTGTTCCTCAATGAATTTTCATTTGCACATTCTTGGGCGAATGTTATGTCATTAAAATATCCCCAAACAAAAAAATCAATGGGGTTGAGGTCAGGGGAGCGTGGAGGCCATCGTATCGGTCCGTTTCGTCCGATCCATCTGTCTATTTTCAAGGAAGCTTTTGTAGGCTGACGGCAGTTCAAATGGACCGATAAATTCCATATTGAATATTCCTGACCACATGTTCACACTAAAACGGTGTTGAAATGTCGACGGCCTTGACTGGTGGGGGTTTTCAACAGCCCAAGTATGTAAATTATGGATATTGAATATCCCTGTTCTTTCAAAACGTGACTCGTCAGTCCATAAAATTTTATCAAAAAAATCGGGATCCTCTCGTTGTCTTCGCAGCATTGTCTCGCAGAAATCCACTCTTAACTGGTAATCTGAAGGCATCAACGCTTGAACTCTTTGAACATGATAGGCATGATAACCTTCTTCATGAAGAATATTTTGTATCGATGTTCGTGGTATTCTAAGGTTTTGTGCGTGTGATCTCGTACTCGTTGAGGGATTCCGGCTAATTTCTTCAAGTACTACTTCTCTGCGATCCGGATCAGCTGTAGGATATCCTTCATTGCTTCCTCGTCCTGGAATGCGGCCTGCCATGAAAGTGTTATGTGTGTTAATAAAAACACGGTGGTCTGGGTAATGCTCAGGTTGTGGTCCGCCTCGGCGTATAAGTTGTTCCCGGTACAGCTGAGCTGCTAAAGCGCCGTTGCCTTGAGCAACGCCATAATAATAATGCATTTCTGCATATTCACGCAACGTATAATGCATCACAAACTTCTTAGCAAACAAAGTCCAAATCAGTATGCAAAGCAGAGAAATTAGCCGGAATCCCTCAACGAGTACGAGGTCTATGGCACAAAACCTTAGAATACCACGAACATCGATACAAAATATTCTTCATGAAGAAGGTTATCATGCCTATCATGTTCAAAGAGTTCAAGCGTTGATGCCTTCAGATTACCAGTTAAGAGTGGATTTCTGCGAGACAATGCTGCGAAGACAACGAGAGGATCCCGATTTTTTTGATAAAATTTTATGGACTGACGAGTCACGTTTTGAAAGAACAGGGATATTCAATATCCATAATTTACATACTTGGGCTGTTGAAAACCCCCACCAGTCAAGGCCGTCGACATTTCAACACCGTTTTAGTGTGAACATGTGGTCAGGAATATTCAATATGGAATTTATCGGTCCATTTGAACTGCCGTCAAGGTTGGATTCGGTAGCCTACAAAAGCTTCCTTGAAAATAGCCTACCATTATTGCTGGAAGATTCAAGCCTGGAAGCCAGACGGAACATGGTGTTCCTGAATGATGGTGCACCATGACACAACGCAACGATCGTGCGAAACTACTTAAACGAAAGGTTCCCAGACAGATGGATCGGACGAAACGGACCGATACGATGGCCTCCACGCTCCCCTGACCTCAACCCCATTGATTTTTTTGTTTGGGGATATTTTAAAGACATAACATTCGCCCAAGAATGTGCAAATGAAAATTCATTGAGGAACAAAATTCAAGAAGCGACACATGTGTTGAAAAACAACACACAAGCATTTAGAGATTTAAAACAAAATTTCATACGTAGGTGTACACTGTGCATTTCTGTTAGAGGCAGACATTTTGAAAACCTCTTGTAAATAACATAAATGAATAATAATCTGCTGTTCAGTAAAAATCAAACGTGTTTTTGTGGTTTTTGAAATTTTTTTTTCCGAAACTAACAATTTCTATTGAGCAGAGGGTTATCCAATTTTGGGTTCGGTTCTATTTGAGCCACAGTTACGGTAGCATGTAGTAAAGCTAGGTTGATGAAATTTTTACGGTAAATAGCTGATACCGTAAGGAAGTTTTTAAGATACTTACGAATAGTAAGAACATGTTTTTTCAATTTTTTATAAACGTTCAAAGTTGTTGCACTTTTTTACTTTTTTGTTATGTTCGAAGATTTTGAAAAAAATTAAAAAGTAGTATTAGTTACATGACTTGAATGATTATATGATAGTTAAGCCTTAGGTCTTAGCTACATAATCGTGAAAAAAGCAGGCATTTATCACAATTATTAACGAAGTTATGGTAAAAATAAACACAGAACTCAAAAATTCTCGAAAAATCCGAAAAAAAATCATAACTCCTAAACTAAACAAAATCGGACCATATATATGGGGGTGATTTGGGTTCCTCTCGATGTGGGGAATCTAATTTTTTTTTTATGACGTCACGTGTTTGGCCACCCTGTATATACCACAGCCTTGGAACTTGCTCAACAGCTTCATACAGCTATTGCATCGTCAGCCAACTTAGAAAGCCTCTTCTCATCATACGGTTTAGTCCATTCAAAACTACGTAATCGTCTAGGCAATGTCAAAGCTGCTAAGTTGGTTTCACTTTTTAAAGACCTTAATTCCTTCAGTGATGACGTGACTAATCAGATATCAGATTGATGACTTAGATGACTATGAGACTGAAAGAGTGTGGGGAATTTGTTAACGTTTGGATGCAAAATGTTTGGGTTTTCCAATTTTTGTTGTGTTCCTATTATTAATAAATAAATAATATTTATGTTAAAGTGTATAATGTATTTGAGAACATTTCCTATTTTTATTTATTATATTAATACAGAAAAAGAAGAAAAACAAGCTCGTTTAATTTAAGTGTTTCAAACATGCTTCAAACTGTTTATGTCATCTTTATATACGCACAAAAAATCGAATGAAGCACCTTGCGTATTTTTACGGTTATCCTTGTTATAAGCTTCATTTTTACGAGGTTTTTTTATTGGATATTTACTACATTTTCGAGTTATTTGCGGTTTGCCAGAAAAGAACTGCATACCACATTATTCGTGGATGTGGAAAATTTTTAGTGGATAGGCACAAGTCCTTACTTACCCAAAAAAGCATGTTTGTGTTGCCACATACTTAAGAATCACCCTGTAGAGAACGACATATTTACCAAATAAGGAGCATATAATTGCCTATAATTATGGTAAATTTTTCAAATGCCTCTCGAATGATTACAAAAACTAACTCTATGTATCAGCTGTTGATTGAGACATATCTCACCATTAGTTAATTTAAATTTACTAAAAGAAAAAAGAGGCTTTTGATTACCATACTTCAGAAATACATATAAATAGACACACATACATACAATAAAGTTAAATAATGTCGGAGTCGAATTTGTTATTTATTACTTATATGATGTTCAAACTGCAGATGTAAAATAGTAAAAGTAAAATAGCAAGGTCAATTTTTAACGTATTCCAATTTAAACAAAAATGTAATGTTTGATTGCAACAGTGAATGTAGCAAAATAAAAATTATCAAAATCGAGCTAAGGTTCTATCATGAAAGACAAAAAATGGGTAATACCTTATCCAGTAATTAAAAAATATCACACTTTATACTTCACCAATCTTTATTAGCTTGAAACATAAAAATCTCGTACAATTTTCAATATACATATATCTTCCACTTTTAAATCACTGATCAAGAAACCTAAACAACACTTTATCAAGCCCTAGACACGCCTGCATTTTGAGACGCCTCAAAGTATCAAGGGAAGCTTCATCTATCCTCAATGTAACATTTGTCCCCTGTGCATTAGACTTTTCAGTGACAATATTCCATACATCAGTCTTCAGCCCACGATTTTGAGTCTTGAGCAGCTGAAAAATCTTTTCCATCTGCATACCACTATAAGGCTTTGGGAGCCATAACTTCACCTTTGTTAGAATGTCCTCCTCTAGCTCCGTTTTAAGTCGAGTGTCTTCCCAAGGTTGTAATGAAGCCACCGTGTTTTTCACCCAATTTTTTGTGGTTACATTCAAACATGTAAGAGCAAGATATCCTCTGCGCAAAGCGGAACCCCCAAATCGTGGACCTACCCCTTCCTCGCCAGGTGTAATCTGCTCAGTCAGTGCTGTTTGTAACAATCGACACTGCTCTTGACTCAAACTTTCAGTTGGGAAATTGTCGTGCAGAACTAATACGACTATTTTATGCCTGTTTCTTCGTCTACGCCATCTACTGCCACCATGTGAACTCTGTTGGTCGGAAGCATTGCTTGAATTATCGTTTTGTGGTATATTGGGAGACACAATTGGATCTTCAGACCTGTCATCACTACTAGTGACAAGTATATCACCAGATGGTTCGCTGTTAGCACGATTTTGCCTGGCTTTGCGTTGTTGAGCACCAGATCTCCTTTTTTTTGGAGGAGGTGGCATTAGGATACGGTCTTCAGCTTCATTGGATTCTTCCACAACTCCGGAAGGAGCCGGTTGGCTACTATCTTCAGCTTCATTATTTGATCCCTCGGCTCTTGGTGGACCAAATCGTTCAATGTCATCTCTTGAGCTACTAGGTTGGTCGATAAGGTCATGTGGATTATTTGTTTGGTTAGAATTTGAATTGTCATCACTCATAACTGATCCCACGAGTAGCTAGGGAAATATTCTGTCCGTCCGGCTAGAGCCCCGCATAGTCGGATAAGGCTAAGTACTCTGGGAGGTCGCCTGGTATCCCAGAGGTTCCGTTGAAGACGGTGCTCACCCACCGCCACGCACTCCTCGGCACGGATCGCATAACACCTTGAGTTGGTTGGTTTATGGCGTATGGGGATAATAGTTTTTGATACCGGATTACACTAAATAGAAAAGGCGAATACATTCATGAGAGAAATTTCCGACTCGTTTTTTCCATATCACGGTTGTTGATTGCCCCTGACCATGCATCAAGCGGTAACTCTAAACAGTGTGAAAAATGTCTCTTTAGGTTTTATGGTTTATAGTTGAATCATATTATGCGAAAATTCCTCTGGTTTGCGGAATAATTGTAGTTTAATTGTATTGATACAATTTGTTTAAAGGGGTATTTAAAACATGGACGCATACAATGGGTACACCAATTCCTGTGGGAAAACAAAGATAGAAAAAACTTTTTTTGGGACTAAATCAAAACTGTTGGCAGGAACAAAAAACTCTTCAAATAAGATTTGTAGGTATTTACGAGACGCACAAAATGAGACCAAGTATGAAAAGGTCCGACTAATTGCAAAAAAGTTATGGCCTAGAACCTAATCAAAATGCAGGTTTTAGCACTTGTTCATTTTGACTTGATTGCAATTTTAAATATGTAGTCTGGTTAGTTTGTTATTAACTTGTTTTTGCAACAAAGTAATCACAGAATGATAGAATCACTCCCTAATGCAAAAAAAGCAATTTAAAAAAAACTATTGCATGACACCTTTATCCACTTGTGTCTTCAATTATGTTTCAAATTGTCTTAGCCTAGTTAGAATGAAGCTGTGCTGCATGGCTACATTATTGATGGCAGCCTGACTGTCAAATAAGTAGGTCAAGTAATCCAGTTCCTTTTGGGAGAAATATAATTCCTGGTCCTTTTTAATATAATACAGGTTTGTTTTTGAAATCTGAAGGCTCATCTGCGATCGTGTAAAAATTTCAGCTCTAAATATGCATACACAAGAATATGAAGAAATCCTGAAAAAAGTTATTTTCTTCGCAACAAAAGATGCTACACCCATCCGCTTTGTTTTAAAATGTGTATAATATCTCACGAATACGGAATGTTTGAATTAGTTTATAAGAAAAAACAACTATTCGTTTTTCGCAAAAAACTAACATTCATCTTCCGAAATGGTTTGTGATTCATATACGCGAACCCTGTATATTGCTCAGTAACCTAGTAGTAAAGGATGGAAAACAGGTGTTTTAGGATAGACAATCAAAACTCCTCAAAAACTACTTGACCAATGAACTCCAATTTTGTTGTGGTTATTAAGAACTATAAAGCCTACGGATGCGAGGAATTTCAAGTATCTGCTTGACACTCGTCGCATTACCAACAAGTGTCTAAACCTGCATTTGGACTATGCTTTCGGAGATAACTTGTTTGCTATTAGTACGATCTTTTTATGTGTGATCTCATTTTCTAGGTCTCGTTTTTTTGTTGCTACCAACACGTCTTCTCATTCTTCGTTGGTGAATAAAAAGTTTTCGCATAAAAATTGGTATACCCATTTCCTTCATCCATGTTTTAAATACCCCCTTGAACAACTTGCATTAATAAAACCAAACTTCACACTTATTTCACGGAAATTTGTTAATATGATTAGACTTTTATTTTGAACAAAAAATTTCTGTAGCAACAACGATCTATAGTTAACCATTTTCGAGTTATGTACGCGGATTGAAGTATGAAAAAACAAAAAACAAATATTGTCAATGCTTAAAAAATGTCATAAATATATCAGTTTAGATTTAGAGGTTGCTGTCTGAAATTAAGGTCAAACCTTTCATTACAAGACCCTGGAACTTATTTTTTTGACCTAGTTCATTTTAAGGCATTGTCATTTGACTGATTTACGCACTAAGAGCCACGAGCGTAAAATAAACTGTGACTATAACCAAAATACTATCCAGCAGCTTATAAGCGCAGGTTTGAGATTTAATTCATGGAAACCTCCAAAAAAATAGAATTTAACGCGGTTTTTCAGAATTGAAAATGGCCATTTTTGGGAGTATTCAGACTTCAAATCGCTTACAAGTCGAAGGTCAACTTGAAAAAGAAAAGTTACCAACTTACTTTTTTGTTCAGAATTTGTTATTTGTAATTCATTTAAAACATACCAGTTTACACTGGGTTACTGACTGGCAACCTCTTGATTCATCATAAGGAGCACCCAACAAACATCATTATAGAAAAATTCAATTCCAAAAATTTCTCACATAAATGTTCAAAAAATGATCGACAAAAAACATCATAGATCTTGTGAAATTGTATGTTGACCTCCATGCTATTCTGATCGAAATGTTCTATAGGTCTAAGCTTCTGGAATCACAGACTTCGGAGTAGTATGGTACCCCCCTCCATAATATCTGAAAATACACAAATCTAAAAAAATGCAGGTGTGTATGCTTTTGCTTTATTTCAGAAGGGTTGACTCATATATTATAACCACAATACGTGGCATGTCAAAAAACCAGCTTCCATAATATGGCTCATTGAAAATGGCCACAACTCAATGAACTGCAATTTTTTAACTATAAAAAAAATTTAATACCTCATCTAGTGAGGACACCTAGATGAACTTGCATCAAAATAAATAAAACAAATACATAAGGTAAATTCACCTAATAACGACACATTAAAAAGGCGATCCTATTACCGACCCCTTTGCCATCATCTAATTTACAGCAAAATTATTTGATCAAATCAAGATCTACTCAAATTTCCCACCTTGCTTTAGACGCCTGATACATGTAAAAGCGTTCCTGTGCAGTAACAATTACATATTCAAATCAGATCTGTCAAAAAACCGTTAGTTAGTCGACGAGCTTCGTTTAGTCGAGTGTTTGTTGTTGCAAAAGACTGTTATGGTAAGTATCAAAGAGTTAATTATTAAGCTTTTAAAATAAAAATATTTACATTTATGCAAGTATTCAAGTGAAATATTGTGCTCATATTCATTTTTTCTCAAAAAAATATATTACTACTTAAAAAAATTGCACCAAATTTATGAAAACTGCTTAAAATCAATAGGGCGGCCATAGGGTAACATATTTTCATATTTTCCTATTACCGCCTTATATATCGCTATTACGATTATTCTTCGCATTTAATAAAGAGACGTTTTTGGAATAAGTATTACTTTCTTAATCTTCAAATTAACTTGTTTTGTACTTAACAAGTATCTTATTTTCTATTTCCGACCTATATAATATTTCTTCTTCTTCTTAATATTTAAAGTAGAATTCAGTCTTGCTTATATCCATATTATTCTAAATAATGCTACCTGCATTTTGAATGCAAAACTGTCTTTTTGTAGAAATTAGGAAAAGATTTAGTTAATTTTTACATTTGCGCAAATTGGGTAAGATGTTTACAATAAATTGTACCCTAGAAATATATCCTATAGTAGTTAATATCACGTATAATTAGAGAAAATGATTCAAAGAAATAGCGTGATAATAAGATAAAAATATTTTCTTTCCTCCCCATTGCCGACTTGTGATCCTTGTTAGGGATTTTTTAGAATGTCTTTTTAGGCATATTTTCAGAAACATGTATGATTTATTATCATAAAAACCAATACTTTAGGGAGATTGCTCTTTGAAAAATCTTATTTTCTATTTCCGACCTATGAATTTATTGTTCTAGATCTTAATATTTTAATTCAGTTACTTCGCTTGCATTACTATTTTACATAAATTAGAAAAATGCTTTCTGAGTAAATTAACTATTTCAAATAAAATAGTGCTCAAGAAAGAGATTAACTTGACTCGGGCTCAACAGAAAGAGTGTGTACTTAATTTTTTTGTTTATTTCAGACTGGCAAAAGAAAAAGTGGTAAAGATTTATAATTTAATATCGTGCTATTGGGTTTGTAATAGGTTTATAGGTCTATACATTTTACCAATTACCGTCCTTTTTGTTTCAGAAATATGCCTGCAGAAATGCGGGTTAAATATACAAAAGATCAGCTATCTCGAGCTCTTGAAGCCATAAATAATGGAATGTCTGTCTATAAAGCGTCCCAAACTTTTAACGTGCCGAAAACAACTCTTAGGGATAAACGTGATGGAAAGTACAAAATTGAAAAGTGTGGAGTTCAGCCGGTTCTTTCTAGAGACGAAGAAAGAACAATTGTTGAATGGATTGTCCATCTAGCAGCTCTAGGTTTTCCAGTTACGAAGTCACAGTTACTAGAAAATGTTTCAAACCTGGTGAAAAATTTACAACGTCCAAATCCATTTAAGGATGGTAAGCCTGGAAACCACTGGTTTCAAAAGTTTATGGACCGTCATCCTGAAATTTCCAAACGTGTATCGCAAAACCTTGCTACAAGTAGAAGTGCAGTTACTGAAGTGGCTATTAAAAACTGGTTCAGAAAAGTCGAAGAATATTTTAGAAGCCAAAATATTATGGATATTCTTGAGGATGGCTCCAGAGTTTTTAACTGTGATGAGTCGGCTTAGCAAACGACGAAAAAGAATGTCTAACTGTTCTTGCAAATGTGTCTGCTTGATGGCTCACCAGCTCCTCCTATGGTAATATTCCCCTACAAAAGATTACCAAAATTTATACTATACAGAGAGTGGCTGGATGAATTCAGAGGCTTTCTATGAATACGTTGCAAATGTTTTTTACCCCTGGCTGCAAAATCGTGACACTAAGTTTCCAGTGGCTTTATTTCTTGATGGTCATACCTCCCACATATCTTTAGCCTTAAGTGAGTTTTGTAAGGAGAAGGGGATAGTATTAGTCGCACTTCTGCCTAATTCTACCCACATTTTACAGCCATTAGATGTGGCCGTTTTTAGACCAGTTAAAGCCACGTGGCGAAATGTGGTTCATGATTTTAGATTTAAAAACGAAGGGGCAAAAATCAGAAGAAGCGATTTTTCAAATTTGGTTAAAGCATGTTTTGAAAAATGTCTTAAACAAGAAACTATAAATAAGGGATTTGAATGCTGTGGCCTTTTCCCTTTTAACCCCGAAAGTATTAATTACAGTAAGCTCATGAAAAAATATATACAAGAGCAGCAAGAACCAGTTTGTAATAATACAAAGGATCAAAATATAACAGATCAGACAGATCATCATTTTAGCCCATTCGCAGCATTGTTCCAAAATTGGAACACGCGATATTTCGGATGTAGTTGAATAGATGGAGGCACAAGTATTAATCAGAACCATTGTTAGCAATTCACAGCATCGGGAGCACCTGTTTTCAGTAAACTTTTTAGGTTATATTACGGCAGTAAACATACCAGTGCAGCTAGGTTATTTTATTTTTAAAACAATTTTTTTGTGTTATTACTGGCGCGTAAACAATACAAACTGCTGAAAAATTGAAGTCCTCTATAAACAGAAGCAAGGTCTGGCTATTGTTTTATTGGTAAGTTTGAGTAAAATAAGTATCTTTTCTCATTTGTACCTTCTATCGTCACATTTTGTTATGTTCCAATAATGGAACATGGCTACTTCTATTGCACTTTTGTATTTATTTTAGGTTATGGATTGCAAAACCTTTTACGGAAAAAAATCCACCTGTTCAACCAGTTTGAACCGACTCATTGACAAACTGCATGAAGAGCACTTTGAATCAGCTAACATATATATAAGTCCACCAATGGAGGATTCTGAGGGCGACTCTGAAGCCTCAGGAAATGAAAGGGATTTTTGTGAGAAATTTTCTCAAAAAATATTACGTGCACCAGCTGAAGCTACTCTTGTATCACATGGCAGTAAGCAGCATCAAGAATCCAGCAGTGATGACGATGAGCCTTTAGTAAAATACGTACCCAAAAGCAAAAAATTCAAGTCAAAGTCAAAACTGGAAAACTGATATCAGCAAGACTTACCAAACTCTGTGAATCTGAATAATGTAATAGAATCTGACACATATAATAACCTGGTTGCAAAAGAAAATCCTATTCAATTTTTCGAATTATTTTGGACTGATGCTTTTTTTGAAAACATAAAAGAACAAACTATATTGTATGCTACCCAGAAAAATGCAAACACATCTTTTACTGTGACCGTGGAAGAACTAAAGGTTTTTTCTCAATTTTGCTAATTTCTGGTTACTCTAAAAGGCCCAGGAAAGATATGTATTGGAGTATGGACTCTGATCTTCGCAATGAAGCGGTTGCTAAGGGGATGTCAAGAAATAAATTCCGAGATATTTTGAGAAATTTGCACTTTGTAAATAACACTCAGCTGCCAGCCAATGACAAATTTGGGAAAGTAAGGCCACTGATCAACCACCTAAACACTGTTTTTCTACAGCATACCCCTCTTACTCAAACCACATCAATATCTGTTGACGAATCAATGGTACCATACTATAGTCACCACAGTTGCAAGCAAATAATTCAAGGAAAGCCTATTAGATATGGGTTCAAATTTTGGTCTGCAAATGCATCAAACGCTTATCTTGTGAACACTGAACCATATCAAGGCAAAGGAACAATATTAGGAGATAGCGACCTTGGCCTAGGAGCATCTGTTATTTACACCTTTGCAGAAAAATTGAAACAGCAATTTCCAGATCAAAAATTTAACTTCTTTATAGATAACTTTTTCACGGGTCTTCCACTGATAAAAAGATTAAGTGAAATGGATTTTGGATGCGCAGGTACGATCCGGCAAAACAGACTAGAAAAATGTCCTCTAAATAAATCTGCAATGAAGAAATCGCATAGGGGTTCTATGGACTCATACGTTAATTCAACTAAAGAAGTTATTGTTATGCAATGGAAAGATAACTCCATAGTCCATGTTGCTTCAAACTGCTTTGGCTTGCAGCCCACAAAAGCAGCACGCCGTTATTCTATTGCTGACAAAAAATATATTATGGTAGAGATGCCTCATGCTATTCAGCAGTACAATACTAATATGGGTGGTACAGATTTAATGGATAGAAATATTTCTAATTATCGCCCGCAACTGCGTAATAATAAATGGTGGTGGAAAGTTTTTATACATCTTTTATGCGCTTCGGTCTCTAATGCATGGATCTTATACAGAATCTCAAAAGATGAGAAAAAAAAGAAATCTACTGCTGATGAATTCATGGACAGTTCTCGTTCTCTTGATTTACTTGGCTTTATCAGATACATTGTATCAACATATTTACTTCTGAGTCCCAGAGCACAAAGACAAGACGGAGCTATATTTCTAAAGGTTCCTGAGGCAGTCTCCAATTATATGTCTGTTTTGCACTACCCAAACTCCATGAAACAAAATAGATGCAAAGTTTGCAAAAAAAATACTACATTTGGTTGTGGTATATGTATGATTAATGTACATCCACTCGATTGTTTTAAAATATTTCATCAAAGTGCATCTTCGTAGTGTATAAAATAAAAATAAATGTTATATGGATACTTTAGTTTATTTTTTAATAATTAGCCAACAAGACTCTTATGACGCAAAGTTCCAAATTTGGAACATTTTTTTTTCGCCTGTGGCGATTGTAAATGTTCAAAAAGATTTTTTTTACTATTTTTTCACATACAAGCTGCCTAGGCTAAAGCTAAAATTTCTTAACAAAAAAAATAATAAAGCTTGGCCGCGAATGGGTTAAAGAACAGCTGGAGGCTCGTCTACCTCTAGCAACACTAGAATTGTTCAAGTCTTCGGGCGATACATGGAATGGAGATCTCACTTATAAAAAACTATTCGTTTTCTGGAAGTCTCTTCAGGATAAACCAAGTGCAGAAACGGATATGATTTTAGATGACACCACAATCATAAATAATATTACCGAAAATATCAACGACTTTTGACGAAAATGCCTGGGATACAATCGACTTAGAAATTCAAGGAGACGGCAACCTTTCAATATGCAATATTAAATATGCTGAAAATTGCAGTTTACCAGGACTATCGGTCAACGAAGGCACTAAAAATAGTAATGCACTTAGAACAATAGAAAAAACCTATAATACCCCGGATACATCACCTGTGAAAATCTTACCTCACGATAATATTTTAATTGAAGAACACGCTAGTGAAAACGACACAAACTTAGATGTTGTGGCCACAACCGAAAAACCTAAAGAAAACCCCATGCTGCCAGTAGGTGAATCCGCAGAAGAACTTATGTCCTTTAAAGTATCAACGCCGTTTAAAAACGCTTTTTACTTCCGTAAGAAAGTTGAAGATTCGGCAAAGAAAAGAGCTACGAGAAAAATTACGCCAGTAGTAGCAATTTCAGATGAATTCATGGAGTATCAGAGAAGAATCGAGGCGGAAAAAGAAATGAAGCAACATGAGAAAGAACAAAGAAAAAGTAACAAATCAATTGCTGAAGAAAAGAAAATTAAATCCTGAAGATAATTCTGAAAAAAACGCGGAAAAGAAAATAAGTAATTACAACATTGGAGACTAGGTAATAACAATATACGAAGGAGAACTCTTTCCAGGAGTTGTTTGTGGTTATGATGAGAATGGAATAATGGCGGGAATAACTGTAAAATCAATGGAAATGAGTGGACCAAACTGGAAGTGGCAGGAAAAAGATGATATATTGAAAATTGTAAAATTGAACCGCGTGAATTAATAAACAGCAGGGGCATTTATAACATTCCAAAGATGGAAGAATATAAAAAAGGTCAACCTAGTTTTTCATAGATGTAGTCATGTTTTTGTATTTCAAGTAACTATTTTTGTGCTTATTTAGTAACTATTTATTTCACCCAAGTTAGTAAACTTACCCATTCAAATACCTACTTGTCTTATTTCCATAAGCGGTAATAGGTGACAAAAAGTCGGTAATAGGAATAGAAATAGAAGTATAGGGCGCTAATGGGATATATCCACATTTTTTTATTTTTTCAATTTTTTTCAAAACAAGCTTATGATAATAAACCGCTAACTCGATTTTTTTGTTTCCAATAAAATACTATATAGCACAGAGTCTTCAAAATACCCATAAAATAAATACAACTCTAAATAATAATACCTAAACTTCGTTAAGTCTTAAGTAGGGCAGTAATAGGTGAATTTACCTTACTCAAAACTGGCCTAAAAGACAAGTATCTGAAATTTGAGTCCTATAAGGTCCCATTTATCGAACATATTATTGAAGAATGTGATTAAAAGCAGCTAAGGTTCAGTAGATAGCATAGAATGATGCAATAGAAGCTATTTTTTGAAATGATTGGCAAAAAAAGACTTTTAATCTGATTTTTGGAATAATTTTTTTACTCTCTCTGTATATTCTGCAGCATAAGAAGCAAGGAATTTGTCAAAATAGTATAGAGAACAACATACAACAATTTTGCCTAATTTGCCCAACAATTTTAATAAGAATGCTTCTGTCATCCTTTTTTAGCAGCACTTTCGGGCAATTTAACTTGGATTTTGCACTTTTGGTTAGAGTTGGTTATTTTCGAGCTCTTTTCTGATGCTGTGAAATGGAAGCAATGTTATTTTTTACTGATGCTTCTTCAGCATTTCCAAGATAGTTATTTTAACCTCATGAAATACTTTTATTTTCTAGATTAGTGTTACTGCTGACTATGAATGGCACTACTCAGATCTCATATACATGCTCAAAAATAGATGAAAAAATATTATTTCTTATTAAAGAGCATGACAACCTTATATATAGCTTTATCATTGTACAAAACTGATGTTTAGATATGTATTGCAAAAATTTGTGTTGTTATCAGCACCTTAATGCTGACTTTATTCTTGTACAAGCATATTATTACCATAGAAACATCATACACATGTTTGTACTATCAAAATAGAAACAATCATAAATGTGCCAGTCCCTGACAAACTTTAATCAATCTTTCAAAACTCTACAATTCTCTGCATCATTTGATACATGTCTTAGATCAAATGATTGAGTAAACTTGTCTTTCATGTTTTAAGAACATATTTTTCATATAATGTGAATAGGAACTTATTAAATGTATTGTAGGTTTTGGAACTTGTCAGTTACCAATTAGGTAGGTATGATTAGTCCACCTATGCATGTACTATAGCAAAGGTATGAATCTAATAAGACATACACACATGATTTTTAATTTGTTAATCTAACAAGTTTATTCAAAACAATTCAATCACTCAGATGCGTTAATGAAAGTTTTCCTGTCGTCGACTCGCTGATTAGTCTTTGGTTTATACTACCCAAATGAAACCGCAGGTGAAATGAAAGTTAACTATCGTTTTAGCAGCTTCAATCGCTCTTTTCAAAGGCACCTGAAGTCTTTTTCATTTCTCCATGAATTTCCTTTGGTACATGAAGATGGTTCAGGTACGTTTATTGACTTATCATCCATTCTTTTGATATCTGTGAAATTGCATGACGCATTTCCTTGATTCCAACAATGATTTATGATTATACGAAGCCAATTGTCGGTTAAAATTACACCGATAAAATTAAAAGTCAATCCCATATGAAGCAGTAAAGCAGAAAAGCATCACCTGTGCTTCAAAAAAAAGCTAGCCTCAGCTCTTGAGGCTGTGAGGATTTGTAGAGATTTGCGAATTTATGAAATACAGCGATCTGCAAGTCCAAGAACAAGTTTTTCACAGAATCGAGTATGATTTCAAAGAGTTTCAGGATCTCTAAATGTAAATCACAAAGCCTGATCTCGAAATGCCCACATTGTCTACGATAATTAATGAATTCACAAGCAAAAATTGCAAAAACTTACCGGTAACCCGTTATCACCCAAATACAAACGCCATTTTGATGTTTCCTGTTGACAGCGTTAGAGGTGGGTCAGGCAACACTGGGTCGTTACAGTTACGTGACTTTGTAACTGTGGCACAATCGATACTGGAGGAACAAAATAACTAAAAAAGGTTCAAAAGGTGTTCATACTACGAGTATAACCCGTTAGGGTTTAACAACTGTTACGAGTTTGTAAATTACTTTGAAATATCTGATAGTCCGGGGTTTTCGAGTATGTTCTAATTTCCCACGGATAAACGAGGCTTTTGTAATCATACAAGTTTTGGAATGGGATAAAAAAGAATGAAAGCTATACTTTAGGCTCACTTATATTTTTTGGGCGTAGTAAAAATGAAATGTACGTTGGAAGAGCTCAAAATTGTTTACTTGACATCTAGTTATTCCAATTCGTAAATTCGGAGTGACGTCTCCATACCTGAATGAAAGTTACCTAAAAGCCCCAAAAATAAAAAAAATATCACCCTCTAATTCTATGCTTACCTTTCAATATGTAGTTTACAAACATCAAACTTTACCCCTATGGTCAAACGCTTGCCTTATATATGTTTTAAAATTATATCCACAAAGGGCAAATGTACAATGTTATTACTCGAGGCCGGGTTTCAAACTGACCTCTAGGTCTGCATACGTGTTAAGCGTAAGGGACAATAAAAGACATCTGTTTAGCATTCCTATGCCATAAAATTGATGGAAAGCCGTACGGACATATAGAACGGGCTGTACGATAATCACTTACCCTTGGTTTTTAGAGAAACTACAGACTGAAAGTACAGTAAGGTAATACTATCCTTTACAATTGCACATTGACAAAGCGCCATTTGATAAACTTAAGGCTTTTCTACCATCTGATGCGCATTAGTTCAGTTTAGCTACATATAAAAAAATATTTATCATTTATTTTACAACTCTTGACCAAATGACCAGATTTTGTGTATTGTTAGCAGACGTACTTCCAATATCTTGCATAAAGAGGCCAACCTCCATATAATTGGCTCTCAGTTACCTTATACAAATTTTACCATAGGTGTAAACGCAAGGAAGCTGAGGATTGTAAAAACACCAATTTTCTTCAAGCATTTAACAGAATCTATACAGAAAGCTCTTTATGATGCTTCAATATCGCAACTTACTCGTGAACTAACTTGAGGATCTTTAATGTAATATTCCTGTTTTAAAATGTATCCCCATTAGTGCCACAAAATAAATCTATAATTTTAAGAACGAGCTGCAGTCAGTAGTGTCCAACCGCAGTCTTGAAATTTTCAACCATTATTTTTACGAATATATAGTATTTGTGCGTGAATTTTATCGTCTCAAACTTCAGCTTGCTAACTTGATCTGTTCAAAAAATAAATAGGCGGGGACCTTATTGAAAACTACTGTACGATGAAGAGTAAAAGCTTGGATCAACATTGAAGACATTAGTATTAGTATTTTTGTAAAAACTGATTTTGAAGCTGTCTCTAGACATATCAGTATTTAGAAAAAAAACAACATACAGACCATCGAATTCTGCGATTCGGGGATTACTTAGTAAACCTCTCGAAAGGCTGTGGCTCAATAGATAACCTATATCAGAAAAGCTTAAAGAAATCGCGATTATTCTGCACAGTGGAATCATAGGATCTATTTACAATCGAGGATTTACTGTCTTTTTCTCCTATTTGGATTACAAAAAGTTGATAACTGTCATAGGATCAGGTAATAGAATGACTGTGTACGTTTTTTATTACTCAAAAAATGATGTTAAAGCCTCTATACTCTGCAATGTTTCAGCCACGAATTCATTTAAGTTTTAAGATTTATTGTCCCTTAATTGCTTCCTCATCCTATTGTAGAAGATTGACAATCATAGTCATAGGATTAAGTTAGGAAAATGGGAATTCTCGAGATTGGGTGTACCTGCAGCATTTTGTCTATATTGCGCTGAAGCTATTTGGGATATTTAATTACAAAAAAAACTTGCCCAGGAAGGCCATAGTAGTCGCAACCTTTTCCTAGCAATGGCCTGTTAAACTGTCCATAATTAGGAAAAACTTTTGTATACTATTTTTACTTCCCACGCCTATTAGCGAGGAAGTATTGTAGTCGCAAAAAATTTCGTAAACGAGATATGATTCTGGATGTATATGACATGCACATCACGAAAAACCGTGTCACTCATGTCTGTCGGTCTGCTTGTCGAGTTTGATGTATTTTCAAACGAGATAACTACTATGTCAAAAACGAAAAAGCTATCTAGTTTTTGAAAATCGGCCAGTGGCGGGAGCATGAAAGGCAAAAAACAAAAAACTGAACATTGCTCAAACTTCGTTTTTTGAGGTTTCAGAAGTTCTCATTCATTTTCAACCAAATTTTGTAAAAAAGTTAAAATTTTGGAGTTTTATGGGTGGAGCTGGGTGTATTTCATTTTTTTGGCGGCAGTACATTTATTTGCTTCCAGCCCCGGCGATTTCACGCACCCATTTAGTACATACTTTATACATCACAGATTTCCCTTGAAAACCTAGAGACGCGGTCTGTCGGGACGATGGCAACCTTCATGCCCCAGACTCTGTGTGCGTCTGACTCCATCGCCTGCGTTCTGGATTTGGAGTTATAGTATCGTGGCTGCCGCTTATAGTATGGTTGATTGGTGTTGTTCAGCACTTTTGCCAGATGGTCGATACTTGAGGCAAGGTACAAACTAGTATTAGCGTTACCAAATGAGTAGGGAGTATAGATTAATTGTGTGAACCTGTTTGTCTGACATGACACATTCAATTTTTCGATATACATGTTTTTAGCCAGCTCAGAGACACTAGCTTGTGCCGAATGCCATGTTTTATGAAGTGATAACGTTGAGTGGAAAGTGAAGAGTCAACCTACTTGACGCCACTATTTCTACATTCTCAACTGAATAGGCTGTAGTGTTTTTGACACCAGTCAAAATTACGTTTAATCCAATTGCTAGGTACCTGCATTATCTGGATTCATTTTTCATTGATAGCTTTTTCTCACTGATACATTTATTTTACAACAATTCTGCATAGCCGATGGAGAGATAAAAGTTAATTTCAAAAAGTGATTATAGTCTCAAAATCAGCGATTTTCTCACAATCCAGGCATATCACAATTGCAGATCGCCCTTTGATATTTGTCTTTTTAGTTGTTGAAGTGAAAACATGTTCCCATTTCCCATCCATTTTTATTGGACGTCTCGAATATCGAATAAAGTAATGGTAAACAATCGAGTCGATGTAGGACAAACAAGGGTACAACCGGCAACGCCGATTCAGACTGAACGACATTCGATTCGACAGTTGACAGTGACACTTCGAGTCCAGGCTTTGACGTTTGCTTTGTTTATGAAATTGAAAAATGGTTTGTTAATTCATTTGCTATTTTAATTTTACTGCATTTAATAGAATAATCGTTTGCTAAATGAAACTGGATTTAAATCTAAAAAGAAAGCCCTATTTTCTAAGTAGTTTCTTAACCAAGGAGCAGTGCAAGTGCAGCAATGCTTCTTTGTGTGTGTGTGTGATATGAATTCTGTGTTGGATATTGCAACTAAATTTATATGTACGCTAATCTTTCTTGTCCTTATCTTATTTCAATTTGCACTCAGGCGTTACTTAATCTAGTTACTTGTTATAATAATCTGGTCATAGAGCAACTGAAGTCATTTCTGTCTGTTTGTACTTTATGCAAATTTATTATTTAGAAAGAAATGAATACATTTTCAGAGGACTCACATTCTTAAAAAAAATATTCACAGTTATAAAAAAATATTTACAGTTATATTTTACATAAAAAGTACGTCTGATAATATAATTGAGGTATAAATAGTTATTTTTTCATAATGGACAGGCTTTGTAACCTTTATCATTTTTAATAATGATAACTCCAACTTTTTTATCTGGTGGCCTTTCTTCAGCTTTAGCTACATCTGATACAGAATCTGATTCTGATATATCCCCATGATAGGCTGCAAATGAACAAATAAATAAGTCTTGGTTACATGCACTGCATGTTACACCAAATACCCGTATTGACATGAGCAGGTTGAGTAAAATATAGAACTGGTAATGCAAAACTTTTTTCCATAATATGTAATGAGACAGTATCCAAGTACTGAATGTGCCCCCACCAAAATATCATTGCACCCATAGACTACATAAAAAATAAAGCGTGGTTGTGTGTGGGGGTTTATATCTTTTACACTAGCATGGTCTCAAGATACTAACAATTTGTTGCATATTTGTGTACAGTATCAGGCTGTAAAATCTTTTTAACAAGAATTTATAATTACATGTGTAATTACCTGTGAAATTGTGTTATATCAGTTGTTTCCCTTACAGTACCTTTCTATATTATCCTAAAAAGCTAGACAATCACTGACTATGCATGAACACATACAATTTTTAATCTTGCTAATATATAATAATGATTACAAAACTGTATTTTGCTCTTGCTAATCTAAAATATTGTGATGAATTACAAAAAAGCAGCTGGCAGTGTTCACACCTTATTGATTGACAAAATAATAAGCCCAAAGTTTGCACTCTGGTAAGCTGCACATTGCTACAATATATTATACTAACATTTTGCTTAAGGGATACACATGGAGCATAATAATGTGTACAATGATTATTTATTACAATTATCAGTGGTAGCTTTGGTAAGCAGCAAGACCTTATGCTCATCAGTTGCAAATAACCACTCACACAGCACACTTTCAAAAATCCTGTTATTTTCCATAAATAATTATACGTTTTTGATACTTGACAAATAAATTCCATCCTGCATCAAAGTTGATAAAACCTGAAAAATCTGTTTCTTTAATTTTTACTACATATATCCATACATTTTCTACTTTCTTCCCTCAGTAAATATATGCTATTAATATTTTGGTAAATTTGGAATGCTATTAGGCATAATAGGCTTGCTTGAAGTGTATAGGGAACAATTCCAGTGTCATTTGGAATGCTATTAGGCATAATAGGCTTGCTTGAAGTGTATAGGGAACAATTCCAGAGTCATTCTGATTCTGTTTGTAACCAGTCTCATAGCCGCTTTGATAGATTGCAAATTTCACTGCATAGGATCAAATGGTTCTGGAATAGTTCCATTTCATACCAGAACATAACTATACTATGAATGTTATACTAATTAATTTTTTGCAAAATGCATAAACCTTTATCTAGTATTTAAACTTCTTGATAATTTCTAAGAGTTTTTGACTTATTCAGAATACAGTACAAGCCCACTTATCATACAAATGAAAAAGCAACAAGACACTGTATTTAGCATTGCAAAATTTTGATAAGCTTCACTTACCACTCGAGCTAGAAGCTGTAAAAGTGACTGCCGTTGACTCAAATGAGCTGAACTTATCCTCATTTCCTTGGTTTTTGCAACCTGCATTATTAGCACATCCTAGTTTGCTTTCGTGATTTAGGAATCTATTTTTCAGATCAAGTATCAATCGACATTCGTGCAAGTTGTTCTCAGTAAGTACCAGTGCAGCTTTGATTTGAGATAGCTTTAGATGTGGGTACGAAGGAGCCAGCTGATCAGCATATAGTTCGGTAGTGAATCTCTTGGACAGCCTCAGATTATTGCCAGGATCAGAGTGGTGCTTGAAATTGGAAAAAACATATTTTTCAATAAACCAAACATTATATTTTTAAACGTCCAACTGATGGAATTTAAAAACATCAAATTCTATATAAGCGTTACCTGCATGACGATAAGTCGTCCAAAAAATGTTAGCGAACTTCTAAAAGCTGCAAAATCCAATCATTTATAACTTGGAAACAAAAAGCTGCTTTTTTTCTGTTTTTTATTTGAAACAGGTATTTGGCTTTTCACTTGCCACCGCGACGTTGCCACGTTGACAAGATTGTATTAGGAGTGAGGAGATGAGACCCAGAGCATACCAGGTCCGTAATGAGGACTTTATACGATTCTTTTATATTACAAATGGTGAAATAGTCTGTAGAATTAATACATTTAAGCAGCTTTTGCGACTGCACGAAAACATTTCCAAATTAAGTTAGGTCTTTTTTATGTTTGTATGTTAACGTTTTGTAGCTACCTCTTAGGTACAACCATTTGGTGCAATTTTTGGAATTGCAGTAACGGCGGAGCTATGACAAAAAAATACACAGAAAGCAAAAAAATTAACTTGCGTTTTCGTATACTTTTCGACCTCTCGATCACTTTTCGGCTGTGTTGTTTACACATGGTTGGTAATTTTCAAACAAAACATCCTCCTGTTATTATACGTTTACTCGTTTTTTTAGATATTAACAGGACATTTGGAAATATAGTCTAATCATATTAGACGAAAATACCTCTGGTTTGCGAAATAATGATAAAGTTTAGTTTTATCGCTGCAAGTTGTTCAAGAGGATATTTAAAACATGGACGCATAAAATGGGTACCACAATTCTTGTGGCAAAACAATTTATTCGAAAAGAAAGAATGAGAAAACCTGTTTTTTGTCATCCAATCGAAAGTGTTGGGAGGAACGGAAATACTCTTCAGATAAGATTTTTTGGTATTTATGAGACCTACAAAATGAGACGAAACGTGAAAAGTGACTGATAGCAAAAAATGTATGGCCGAAAACTGAGGCAAACTTCAGGTTTTGGCACTTGTTGGTAATGTGTCGATGGTTTCTCGCAAATACTTGAAATTCTTCAAATTCGTAGGATTCATATTTCTAAATAACCACAACAAAATTGGAGTAGATTGGTCAAATAGTTTTTGAGAATTTCTGTTTTTCCCAATAACATGTCTTCCGGCCATCACTACTAGTTTATTGAGCAAAATACAGGGTTAGTTCAGAGGGCATTTTGTAGCAAAATACAGTAGTTTACCTTGCCGTTATGAACCGCAAACCGTTCCGAAAGATAAATGTTATTTTTATGCAAGAAAGAATGGGTTACGCTTTTTCTTCTAAACAAATTCAAACATTTCGTATTTGTGAGTAATTCGCAACAAAAGATCATAGACACATTCGCTTTGTTCTAAAATGTGTATAGTAACTATGTTCTCCGATTGTCGTAGCGCATTTGCTAAATTACTCACAAATATGAAATGTTTGAATTTGTTTAGAAAAAAAAAACTTAACCTTCGTTTTTCGAATAAGAATAACATTTATCCTTCGGAATGGTCTGTGATTCATATCGGCAAGGTAGACTAATATCAAGGTCAAGATGTTATACATAGGACTAATGTTCGACGTTTTTGTAAAATATATAATTTTCTCTAAATAGCGTTAACACTTTTACCGAAAATCAAATGTTCTCTGTGACAGCACTTCGTGTCGAGCCTGAGATTCTACATTAGAATGCTTTTTTATACATGATGTCAAGTTGTCATGACATACTGCAACATCTGAACAATACACGAATATCCTGAAACCGTGGCAACAGCATACTTTTCTTCATCCTGCAGTACCTTACCTACTAGTCATAACACTATTCCTTTTTGATTTCTGATCTTTATTTGAAATATACATAGTTATCAAAATTTCGGAGTGTTCATGCACTTTTGAGAGGTCACTGATACAAAATCTTGAGCTCGACGCGAATCTTCTTTCAAAAATAGCGGTTGCAATTTGAACTTGCAAAGTTGACCTCCAAATGACCTCTGATGTCATTGTCTGGGTCATATTTGAGGACATCAGCAAACTTGATATTCTGAAAGTTTCCTTGAAACGCTTTTCCCAAAGAATGCGTGGTTGCAAAGTTTTTGGGGTGTTTGGTTATTTAATAGATTAAAATCTTTGAAGCCTAGGGCAGAGCGGTTTTTCATGTGATCAACGTTTGCTGCACCAGCTAGGAAAAAATAGTTTTCTTGCTGAATTGCATAACCGCCCAGTCCGACCCTGTCTGTATCTAGAAACGGGTTGGCGGGAGACCGCGAACTTTAAATCCCTGCTATTGGTGGAATTAAATGTTTGATGTTCAATTGTTTTTAGTGGTTATGACCGGTTTTTATCGGTGTGCGGTCTTTTTCGGGACTTTTTAAGCAATTCGTATTGAAATCTTGATCGTAACGAAATTGAATAGGGACAAGCCAACTCCTTGTTTGAGCCACTGCTGAATACAAGTTGGGGTCATCAATTGGTGAGTTGAGTAGCTATTTCAGATTTACTTTTATCTTAGGTATTCTGTATATGCATCAACCTGTATTAGGTACCTACGTTATGATTCCTAAGAAATCATAATTTTCGGAGAAAAATGCAAGAAGAGATATCGTGCCAAAGGAATAGGTAAATTCAAGTCAAGAAAATTCACTAATGTGGGGAAGCCCAGTAGGGGACTGGGATTTGGGATTTACTCAGGTGGCAGATTAACATAAGGAGGGATACCTTGCGTCTTGTCCTCCACATATAGAGTGTTAGGGCTAAGTTGCGTATTGAGGTAATCAACAAGTTGTCGCTTAGAAAGTTTCGAAATTCAAAGTACCTCCGGAGAGTTACGGAGAAAAGCGATTTTTCCCAAAATGGTTTTAATTTTTTCCTGACTTCAATTGTAGTGGGATTTTAAAATAAATTGTACATTAACATTTTTTCTTTTTCTCCTTATGGACACTTTATTGGATTTTTACGGAGATCAATAGAATATTTAATTCTGATTTCGAAAATATATAATATGACATACATTGTAATTGTCATTGCCAAACCGTAGTTATTCCAGGAAAACGGAAGTTCCTAGGTAGGTAGACCTTAAAAATCAGATTTCATTTGTTCCGTATACCAAATCAGACCTCAAATTGATTATAGCAACAGAGTTTGGAAGACTGAGAAGAAGATAAATAAACTGAGCAGTGAACAATGTACATAGAAGAGTCAGGCTTGACGTATAAAATGACGGACAACATTTTGAACATCTGCTATTATTTATCTCTGCTTATTTATGATTATTATTGTTATTACCATCAATAAAAGTTCCTTGTGGTGTTCGGCTTTCACCATACCTTTTTGTTTTCTTGTAATTTTCATCAAACAGCAAATTCACGGCCAACTATGGAAATTGCTGAATTGAGGACCGAAAAGTCTATTTAAATGTACACAATTCCAATAGGAATATAGCGTCCATATGAATAAACAAAGTTGGTTATGGAAGCCGACAAAAAATGTCCAATTGAAAATTTGACTGCGCCATCTGGTAGAGGAGAATAAGTAACAATGACAACATGCTGTTTATTTCGAAATCCCATCTCAAATGAGGTCAGGAAAAAATAAAAGTGATTTTGGGATAAAAATGTATACGAAACAAATGGCAATCTGATATTTTCAAGGCCTTAATAGGAAAACCTAATTTTTTTGAATTGACTAAGGTTTGGCTATGTCACTGTATGACGTATTATAAATTTTTGGAATTAGTATCAAAAAATCTATTCAACTGAACAAAAATCTAATATGCCATCTTGTAGAGGAGAAAAAGTGGCAATTTTAATATGCAAGTTATTTTGAGATTCCAGTACAAATAAAGTAAAAAAAAATTGAAACTATTTTGGGGAAAATTCAGTCTCTCTCTCCGGAAGTACTTTGAATTTCGAAACTTTCTAAGCAACTTTGACTCCATTTAAGCGACTTTATATCTGTTGCAGTTTCCGGGATCCCATTGGTGAGGGTCGAATTTGAAACACCCTGTATAAGCCCTTTATTTAGAAGGGTGCATCTTGGGCAGCCGATCAGAACAGCAAAAAGAAATAAGACGAAATCGATCATTCAAAATACTGGAGCGCGTCAGGCTAAAATAAGGTGTGTAAATTACACGCTGAAAATCGCGTAATTCTAGAATCTTACGATGTGCGTGTGACGTGAGGGGGTGGGGGAATCACAAAGTTGCAAAAAAACGTCACCTTAACATTCTCGAGCGCGGCAATTTTTTTTAATTTTTTAAGAATAAATTTAGACAGGAGCGCAATAGGTATATAAATTAGATAAATTAGGCGACGTACCACTTCAAAAATCATTTATTCAGATATTGAAGGTTGTACAGCAAGGTATAGAATAAGCTTATCTCTAACAATATTCGTATTTATAGTAAATCGGTTGTTATGATAGGAAAGTACACAAGAACATTTACTCATCAATATAAGAAAATATAGACAGATATCATTGACATCATAATTAACAAGTAAATACCGGGAATATACAGGAATGATAAGATTTTTACTAAATATACGAGGGTGATACCATAATTTAAATAATCAGCCGATTTCAACAAGTCCAAGTATGAAAAATTTGTCAATAAAGTTCAGTGCAGCAGAATGATGCAGTAGCTTATGTACTATCCACTTCGCGGCTATGTGCCTCTTATTAAATTAAATTCTCAGTCATAACTTCATAAAGAATGAAGATAACCAACCACATGCGGTTTTCACCAGTTTGCAGGACTTTTCATACACTTTCTGAATGATAAAAAATTATACCAATGTTCGAGGAAAACCAGATAAAGGACGGTTTTGCCATTGAGCACCGCCTAACGGATGAAGACGAACAAAGCTAACAAGCCCTTTTGATGGAACTAACATCATTAAAATAGATAGCACTAATCACAAGTTACACTACATTGTCTGAAATGACATTGAATCCTTTTTCTCCTCCTTAAAACACTTAACTCTACGATTAGCTGTAGTCGAGGCATAGTCCCTACTATAATGAAGAAACATACAGGGTGTCTCAAATTCGACCCTCAACATTGGGATTTCGGAAACTGTAAAAGATAGGAATCTGATAATTTCAAGGCCTCCCTAGGAAATTCTGCTTTTATTGAAGCCAAAACAATCCAAAAGGAATCTGAAGATTGGGTTAATTCATTTGAGTGATACTGTGTCCGATTCTTAAAAGTCAAAGCTCAACCTTTCCAATAAAACCAAAAATTTGACAAAAAAAATTAGTTTTTTTTTTTGGCCGGTTCAGATTTCAAATTGTAAATGGCCCACACAACACACATAATATAACTTGACCTACTTTTTTGAATTATTGTTAGAATACGTGTCACAGTGACAGTGCCGGAAATCCTACCAAACCCTACGGACCCCATTTTCAACATGCTTTCGCCTCTGGTACTGCCCTGTGGAAATAACGTGTCTTGCTATAAATTGAGTTCGTCTTGATTTTCTTGAAAAAACAAGTAATAT